TCCTAGGTCTTCCTCTACCCCTTCGGCCCTGAACCTCTGTCCCATAGTCGCATCTTCTAATCGGAGCGTCAGTAGGCCTTCTTTGCACATGTCCAAACCACCGTAACCGATTTTCTCTCATCTTTCCTTCAATTTCGACTACTCCTACTTTATCCCGGATATCCTCATTCCTAATCTTATCCTTTCTCGTGTGCCCACACATCCAACGAAGCATCCTCATCTCCGCTACACCCATTTTGTGTACGTGTTGATGCTTCACCGCCCAACATTCTGTGCCATACAGCATCGCCGGCCTTATTGCCGTCCTATAAAATTTTCCCTTGAGCTTTAGTGGCATACGACGATCACACAACACGCCAGATGCACTCTTCCACTTCATCCATCCAGCTTGTATTCTATGGTTGAGATCTCCATCTAATTCTCCGTTCTTTTGCAAGATAGATCCTAGGTAACGAAAACGGAATATCAAAATTTAAATTCATTAAATAATAATAAATATGGTAGTAACATTACCAACGGTGGATGATGATGGTGAGCAAACATGCGTTATTTTTTGTGTTTTTTGTTCGGGTTAATACGAAGTTAACTAAATATTAAGGAAAATTAATAAAAATAGCTTGAAAATTTTGAATTTTAACCAAAATGACAAAAAAATATTGTAAATAGATAGTATCAAAAGTGATTTTATAGAGTAAAAAAAGTGAAGGAGTAACCAATAGTGTAGCCGCCGCATGGTACTTTCAATGGAGTATATTATACGCACGTTTAAAGCACACGTGCAAAGGCCTCGGCTCCTCATCCCAGCGGGGCACTGTGAAGTCTCAAGTCTCACCCACTGGTCGTGTCTGCTGGTGTCGATGGTAAGAACAGTGCTAGAGTAGAGGTACAGGTGCACCAGCAGCAGGGATATTAGGGGATTTCGACTTAATTGAATTCTAACTTTTTGGAGTTTTAGGAGGAAAAGGGCAGGCTAACCAAATCATGTTTTCGTTGACGGTCAAGCCCTCTTTCATCTTACCCAAATTTTCTCTGCCGTCGTCGTCGTCGTCGTCTTCTTCTTCCTCCTCTTCTGCCGCACAGTGTCGGGCTGGGCCGTGTTCTTCCTCCTCGGTCAGCTTCCCACGAAAAACAGAGGCCTCAAAGAGCGACACTCCCAAGGCCTCTGCCGATTCCAACCCTCGCAACGCCACCACTCTGGTACCATCTCAATTTTACTCTCCTTTGTTAATGTTATGCTAGTCTAGTTGTCGTTTACTAGCCAGTTATAAATCGTAATTATAGTGTATTTGAGTGTTGTATGTTACTGGAACAAATGATATGGATTATGGATGATGATATTGCTCAGATGGTAACAATACCCGCAAACTAGAGCTTTGAATCAACGCGTCGTGCTTCATTTCGCCAAATATTTAGTTGAAACACATATATGATTGTTTTACTAGCTAGCTCATATCATTGACTGAACTACTTGCTGGATACTTTCTTCAACTCGACAGCCAAAGAGCAGGAGAGAAATTCTGTTGGAGTATGTAAAAAATGTGCAGCCAGAATTCATGGAGCTGTTTGTAAAAAGGGCACCCCAGCAGGTATTTTATATGTTGCCATTAGTGCATACCATCTTAATGTCAATGAGGGTTTATTACTACTACTTATGCAATTTCCATGCCTTCTCACTGAATTGACAACACTTTTCACGCTTACTCAAGTAGGTTGTTGGTGCAATGCGCCAAGCAGTGACAAATATGATTGGAACATTACCCCCACAATTTTTTGCAGTGACACTCACCACCGTAAGTCTATAACTATTATTCTTTCTTTTCGTCACCATAGCAGCTTGAGTATAGTAACATCTTATCTGATGGGTTCCTTATGTTGGAATTTGGGTGGCTGACTGATTTAAACTGATGCAAATTTCATGTGCATGTTTTCTTAGTTGTTGCATTTAAGGAATTTATGTACTTAGTGGGATTGGTTGACTTCCATCTCAGGTCGCAGAAAATCTTGCACAACTCTTGTACAGTATCATGATGACTGGATTTATGTTTCAGAATGCACAGTACAGGTTGGAACTTCAGCAAGGTTTAGAGCATTCAGCTGCTCTTCCTGAAGTGCAAGACAAGAAGGTAATATTTTTCTCATTTTTTTTTCAAGTTCTATCTATGAACCATACTCATCCTTTTGGCCATTGAGGAAACCGTTTACTACATTACCATTTACCGAAGAAAAACCATAACTTGTTTTTGAAGGCTTTGGCTTACCATTTATTTGTTATTGTGTTTTTCTGATGGCACTGAGATTAGGCCCTGATGGCAAGTTCAATCATCTGACCCCTGCGTTATTAACATGCAAACTCCTGCTTCTCCTTAGTAATATGCAGAGTTTGTGACATTCACTATTCAGATGTTTCTGATACATTTTTCATAGTCGTTTAAAGGACTTTTTTCAATCTTTCTATTTTAGTTTTTGAGAGGTTCCGCTGTACAAACTTTAAATGGGCCCAGTGACTGTTACAGGATGCACCAGATTATGCACCTGGTACACAGAAGAACGTGGCAGGTGAAGTTATTAGGTGGAATAATGTTTCTGGCCCTGAGAGAATAGATGCTAAGAAGTACATTGAGTTACTTGAAGCAGAGATTGAGGAACTAAATAACCAAGTTGGTAGGAATCCTCGGGCGGACAAAATGAATTGTTGGAATATCTCAAGTCTCTTGAACCCCAAAATTTAAAGGTCAACAACATCCCCTCTGCTTATCCCAACTACTTTCGGTTGGCTAAATGTTTAGGTTCGTGGCTGGCAGCTGAGCATGGTAGGCTTGTGACTAAATTCTAAGTGCTTTTTGTTAGAACATCTCAAGACCCACACTACTATTATTAATTTATAACTGTTATTGTCTGAGGTAAATTTTTAGGTTGAAAAGATCTTACTAGTTGGCTGCGCCATCATCCACAACATATTGTAGCTATCTAATGTGAATTGTACTACTGTGATTTTTTCAAACGAGAAAAACAATCATAGTTAGTCATTATTGCTTCTGAAATTAGTAGATTTATTTATAAAGGTCCATAAATCTCTCTGTGACTCTTGGTTAAATGTCTTCAAATTTGAAGGAACTGACCAGCAGTGCTGGAGACGATGTTGTGGTTGCGATGAATACATTCATCAAGCGGCTTTTGGCTGTTTCTGATCCTCGCCAAATGAAGGTTTGCCTCTGGAATGAGCTGTCTTTAACTTGCGGTTTAAGTTTCGGGCAATCCTTCCTGTAATGGAAGTATTTTCCAAAAAAATAAAAATAAAAATAAAAATAAAAATAAAAATAAATGGATCTATAAGTTGAAGTGGAGCCATCTCATATCAATATCACTCTTAAATTTAGGGATAGCAATCTCACATGTTCTTATCAAGTTCACAAACTGGAAGTAACCGTGTTAAACAACTGGTATGTGTTGGTACAGACAAGTGTAACAGAGACAACTGCACCGGAATTTGCGAAGCTGCTGTATGGCTGATGGTTGTTGGATACAGCATTTGCAATATCGAAGTTCGTTTTGATATGGAACGAGTACTTGGGACTCCTCCGAAGCTCGCTGAATTGCCTCCAGGAGAAAATGTTTAATTACTCCGGAAAGAATTACAAAATAGGCGTGAAAGTTAATGAGAGGGGATCTAGAATGCTGGTGGTCCTAGTTGAGCTAATGGTATGTGTTCCTTAGAATGTGGACGAAACTGAGGGTTCCAATGAGATGCGAGCAGGAATGGAAGGAGAGAAAAAAAAAATTAGATAGATGAATTAGGAGGCGGCCCGGGATCTTTTACTTTTAGCATGAAACTCCAAATAACGATTCTTTTTTAGAAAAACTAACGAAAAATGTTTGAAAACTTTGAGTTTTAATGAAAATGACAAAAAGATGTTGTAAGTGAATAGTATTATAAGTGATTTTTTAGATTAAAAATATGATTTTTCTTTAAAATAAACAGTACCATGAGTGTTTCGTTAAAACTCTCTTCTTTTTTTTCTAGCAACAAAGAGTCTCAACTGCGAACCGAGTGATCCAATCCAAATGGCCCGATAAAGAAGCCCAAGCCTGCGCTCTCTCTTTTTTTTCTTTTCTTTGACGTACTATTTCTTTTATCATTTTTTTAGAGAGTTTTAACGAAAAATTTCTGGTACTGTTTACTTTAATGATAAAATCATATTTTTATACTAAAAAGTCGATCTTGGTATTATTCATTTTACCATTTATTTTGTCATTATCGTTAAAACTCAAAATTTTCAAGTTCTTTTCATTAGTTTTTCTTTTCCCAAATTCTTTCGGTCTCTATTCTTTTGATCGTCATTTGTTAGTCAATAATTTTTATCTTATGTCTCCGAAGGGACCGTGAAATCCTTTTCCTTTTTTGGAATGGGTATCATTTCCGGTTCCTCTTTGTGAGGATTCTGAGAATCTTCAAATCATGTACGTTTATCGTACATCGTACGGTTAGAAATTATTTTAAATATTTTGATTTAAAATTAAATATAACTAAAACTAACCGTATGATGTACGATAAACGGACATGATTTAAGGATCTCCAAGATTCTCACAAAGAGGATCCTCATTCCTTTTTTTGTTACAGTAGTCATGTAATCTTTTTTTTTTTTTTTTAGCAAAGTGATTTGTTACTTTTGTTGGTTAAGGACATGAAAATCTTAATAATTAATTAATAGACTTAGCACATCTTAGTAGAGGAAATTGGAAATCCTAGCACAGAATCCGGATTAATCATAAAATCGTTAGCAATCAATAGAATATTAAAGTCGAGCACAACACATCCTAGTCCTAGTAGAGAAAATCCTAAAAGAGGATCCAAACGGATGATGAAATCTGATGTTGAAATCCTTAACCATTAATAGAAGAAATCACTAGCTCAGCTGGCTAGCTAGTGTTACGTATATAATATCATCAGTCATCAGGAACTGAATCATCTATCACCTACCTAGCTAATTGAGTTAATCAAGATGTCGACGTCCAAGATGCAAGTCAAGATAATTTCCGATGAGTGCATCAAACCCTCTTCCCCAACACCCCAACACCTGAGAACCCACAAGCTCTCCCTTTTAGACCAGTTCATTCCCTCCATCTATGTACCCATGATCCTCTTCTTTAACCCCTCGTCCTCCATTCACCCCATTAATATTAATATTACTACTCCAATGAGGTCCCAACTGCTAAAGCAATCCCTCTCAGAAACCTTGACTCACTTTCACCCACTTGCCGGTAGAATTAGAGATAGTCTTTCTATTGATTGCAATGACGAGCGGGCTCGTTACATAGAGGCCGAAGTTGACTCCAATCTCTCCCAGTTTCTCAACCATCCTGATCTCTCATTCATCAGTCAGTTCCTTCCCGGTGAGGCTAGTTGGCACGAAGCAGCTCCCGGAGCTCATGTAGCTATGATGCAAATCACCAACTTTGCATGCGGCGGTTTCGTTCTGGGTGCCTTTGTCTCACATATGGTTGTTGATGGAACCGCTTTGAGCGCCTTCTTCAAAGCTTGGGCCGCTGCAACATTTCGCTACATAGCGACTCCTAACACTCCTCATTATATTTATACCAAGGGTAAGTTTGATGCACCATCTTTGTTTCCCCAAAATGATGCATACCCAAGAGAAGCGACTATGATGGCTTTGTACTACCGCTTCCTGAAAGTGGGAAACTGTGTTACAAGGAGAATTGTATTTGATGCTCCTGCTCTGGCCACACTCAAGAGAAAAGCAGCCAGCTCAACGGTGCCAAATCCAACGCGTGTGGAGGTTGTCACGGCACTCATCTGGAAGCACATTATGGCTGCCTTTAACTTGAAGACCGAACGTAATATTGTTCAGAACCGAAGCACAACTCTGATAACACACGCTGTGAATTTGCGTCGAAGAGCTGTGCCACCATTTTCCGAATACACTATGGGAAATTTTCTGTCCATGGCAGCCGCACTGTCACAATGCAGTACTGAAGATAATTATCAAAAGGAGGACAACTTAGCTCATGTTGATGATGATCGTGATCATGAGTTGGGTAGGTTGGCGAAGCATGTGAGGGAAGCAATAAGCAAACTTGATGGTGATTTTGTACAAAGCCTACAAGGAGATGGGACTAGAGGGCTCACCAAATTCTGTGAGCCTTTCAAGGAGATAAGAGAGACTTTGTCTCGCACAAGTGCAGATGCAGCTGATGGACAGAGCCTGGATTGTATAGGGTTTAGCAGCTGGTGCAATTTTGGTCTTTATGAAGTTGATTTTGGGTGGGGAAAGCCGTCGTGGGTGTCATGTGTTGGAGGAAAGAGGGGTGCAGATGAGCCTGTGTACATGAATATGGTGGTTTTAATGGATACAAGGTCGGGGGATGGGGTTGAAGCCTGGATTTATCTAGATGAGCAAGACATTGCTATATTAGAGCATGATCCTCACTTCCTTGCTTTTGTTTCTTTAAACCCTAGTCCTCTTTCTGTTGCCATCAAAACACCATAGACAGGTGCTGTAGGCAGAAGGCAACTCTGTTCCTCATCCGGGTCCCTGACATTGATTAGTGAAACAAAGATCCGTCAAATCTATGCCATTAATGTATGTGCTAAACCAAAATCAATATTAAAGAAATTAGAGTTTCATTGACTTACTAGAGTTTCATTTCAAAGAAATTAGAAATGTTAATCCTGTTAGACAGACTAGAGACAACAGTAAACTTGTTAGTTGTGAAGATCAATTACCATCTCCATCGTTGCTGCGTTGAATTCAAGCTGCTGGAGCTCCCTTGGGCCTCGGCAATGGAGTCATTGCGCTCCCATTGGCAGTCCTATTCCTACGTTTATCTCAAAAACCAAAGAAATATATATACATAGGCTAATCGGATGATAGCTCCCATAATGAAAAATTTTGGATTTAAAATCTCGTGGTAAACTGTGTTAGGATTCAGGTCTAAATTGAAACACCCCAACCCTATTTTTATTTAAAAATGGTTTTATTCCTTAATTGGTGAGCCCATGGGACCCACCTTGGTTTATTTTTGTGTTTTCCGGTCTCCCACTTTCCTCTCTCAGTTCTCTCTTCTACCTCACCTCTACCGTAACTCTCTCTTCCTCTCACCCGAGCTCTCTCCCCCTCGTCTCTCTCCTTCTCGTCCTCCCATGAGCACACACCCACACTAACGCACTCACATACCCACCACCATAACCACCTAGCTATGACACCACCATCACCTCTGGAACTTTCTTCTCTCTCTCCCCCGTCTCGGCGAAGCTCCGGAACACCCATAGAACACCCAAGTCTCCCCCGACGACTCCGGCGACTTTCGAGACAATTTCCGGCCAAACCACGGCGAGTTGGCCGACGTGCAAGGTATTAATCTCTTTGTCTCACTGAGAACTACAACTTTCTTTTTTTGTTTCACTCAATTTCGTTGAATATTGAAGAAGTTATACTCATTTGAATCTTACCCAGTTTCCGACGACCTCAGTGGCTTTCGAGGCGTTTCCGGCCAAACCACAGCGAGTTAGATGTCGTGTGAGGTACCATTCTCTTCGTCGCTTCGAGGGCTATAATTTCCGTTTGTGAATCACTTGATTTTGTTAAATATTGACAAAGTTATGAGCGTTTAAAGTTAGGGAAGTTTCGGCCGAATTCCGGCCTTCTTCTCCGGCAAGACCAAGAAACCAAGGCCTTCGGGCCTAAACCCATTCGAACCAGGCCCTTTGGGCCGTGCTTAAACCCAACCCAACCCCTTTTATTTTATTTTGTTTCTATTTATTTATTTTAAACCCAAAATTATTGGGCTGGGCTTTCAAGCCCAATACCTTTCAAACCCTTTTTGTTTAATTTATTTTGTTTTTATTTTAAAACCCTTAGGCTTAAGGCCTTTTTAGTTAAATCCCCTAATTTCATCTTGGGTCTCCTTGTAAAGGATTGCACGTAATCTTTGTTTGGGGTTTGATTGTGTTGTACCGCCAAGTATGGGTCTGTTTTGGCCTCTACCTTTGATGAACACTATCGACTTATCTATAATAAAAACAACAAAATGAAGCTGAATAGAGAGAGAGGAGGAGGGCAAGCCGGAAGTCTGGAGAGAAAAATGAGAGAGAGAGATGGGATGCAGAGAAGCAGGCGGGCAGAGGTAGAACCCAAGTGGGTGATAAGCTATCTAGAAAAAAGCCACGGTGGGAGGGGTGGGAATGTTTACGGAGAAGAGTACAGAAATGTTAAATTTTAGACTTGAATCATAACGGTTTTTATCACAAAGAGTTTAAATCGGAATTTTTTACTACGGGAGCTATCCTCCGATTACTTTATCATCACGAAGATCATTAATCCAATTTAGCCTATATATATTACAACTACACAACAGTTGCATAGCCATTTGGAAAAGTTTCCACAAAAGAAAGAAAATTATCCTCAAGTTTTGTGGAGGGAGGTGATGCTGCTTAGTTCGGAGGAAGTGATGCTCGTGAACCCCCCATGGGGATTGTTGCAGCGGAGAAACCGTAGTCGGTGCCGGTGTCGGTGGCTAGCAAGGAAGGAAGTCTCAACCCTTAAAAGTATTCCTCTTGTCTTACCTTAAATGCTAGCATATTTAAGTATTATTTTATTATTTTTAAACTAACAATAACTCAACTTTTATTAATTTTGTTTAAAAAAATGTAATTAAAACAATAAATTTTGACACATCGAGTAAAAAAAAATATTAATAATATATTAAACTGCCAATCAACTATCATATTGAAATTTGACATCTTTAAATTTCTTTAAGGATCCTCTTAGCTTCCAATCAGGTGGTTCTACATTCGATCTGAAAAGGTTACGTGGTAGCTCTAAGGTTTATGTGGATGGTACGTCATGTCCCGCAACACCCAAGATAGGCCCTCGGATTGGCCTTTCCCTCCACCAAAACTATCCCCAGAAACAAATCAAACCGATAAAATACTCAATAGAATACCAGTAATTATACCCAGTTGAGCAATTAGTTGCGTGGGGTTGTCGCCGCTTAACAGCCATCCGTAACTGCAACACCACCAACTGCTCTGGTGGAGGAGAGGAGGAGGAGGAGCCGCCGGAGGAGGTAGATGCTCAACTCAGCTCTCTCACTTGTAAGTTGAATCAATCAAATTCAAAGGTATTGTAAAGATGATGCTTCTGCCAGTGCCACTGCCAGGTTCGACTTGCTTCCCTTCCATTCAATTTACTTCGTCCATACTCATCCGCCACCACCACCATGTCTGGCCTCTGTCCGCCACCGCAGCCGCTGCCGTTACCAATTCATCCGAACCCCATCTGCCCCCAAATCCATCTTCCTCAACTACGATTCATTCAACCCCAACCTCAACCTCAACCTCGACACGACGCCTTGGAGACGACCAAGCTGCGGCTTCCGCCCACGACTTCGGTCCCCTCCTCACCTTCCTCGCCAACTCCATGTCATCCGATGATGATTCTGCCTCCTCCTCCTCCTCCTCCCCAACCTCACTCGACCCGACGGAGTTCCAGCTGGCCCAGTCCTACGGCGCTGTCCCCGCCCCACTCTGGCACTCTCTCCTCAAATCCCTCTGCGCCTCCTCCTCCTCCTCCTCCATTGGACTTGCCTACGCCGTCGTTTCGTGGCTCCAAAAGCACAACCTCTGCTTCTCCTATGAACTCTTCTACTCCATCCTCATCCACGCCCTCGGCCGCTCCGAGAAGCTCTTCGAGGCCTTCTTGCTCTCCCAGCGCCAATCCCTCACTCCCCTCGCCTACAATGCCCTCATCGGCGCCTGTGCTCGCAACGGCGACCTCGAGAAGGCCCTCCATTTGATGTCCCGCATGCACCAGGACGGTTACGGCTCCGACTTTGTCTACTACAGCTTGATCATTCAGTCCCTCACCCGCTCCAACAAGATTGATTCTCCAATCATGCTCAAGCTCTACAGGGAGATCGAGTCCGAGAGCATTGAGATTGATGACCAGCTCTTCAACGACATCATTGCTGGTTTTGCTAAAGCCGGCGAGCCCTCCCAGGCTATGCACCTTCTGGCCATGGTCCAGGCCACTGGCTTGAACCCCAAAACCGCCACTCTGGTTGCTGTCATCTCATCCTTAGGGAATTCCGGCAGGGTAGTAGAAGCCGAAGCTATCTTCGAGGAAATGAGAGAAGGAGGACTGCAACCCAGGACCAGGGCCTACAATGCCCTCCTCAAAGGCTATGTAAAGGCAGGTCAACTGAAAGATGCCGAATCCATCGTGTCCCAGATGGAGAAGAGCGGCATTTCCCCCGATGAGCACACTTACAGCCTGCTCATCGATGCCTATGCAAATGCTGGCAGGTGGGAAAGCGCAAGAATTGTGTTGAAAGAGATGGAAGCTGGCAATGTGCAGACCAATTCTTATGTTTTCAGCAGGATTTTAGCCAGCTACCGCGATAGAGGGGAGTGGCAAAAGTCGTTCCAAGTTTTGAGGGAGATGAAGAGCAGTGGAGTAAGACCCGATAGGCATTTTTACAATGTCATGATTGACACTTGTGGAAAGTCCAATTGTCTTGATAATGCTATGGCTACCTTTGAAAGGATGCTATCTGAGGGAATCGACCCGGACACCGTCACCTGGAATACGCTTATAGATTGTTATTGCAAGTCAAGCCACCATGTAAGGGCGGAGGAGCTGTTTGAGGAAATGCAGCAAAGTGGGTGTGCCCCTTGCGCCACCACCTATAACATCATGATCAATTCCTTTGGGGAGCAGCAAAGGTGGGATGATGTGAAAGGCTTGTTGGGGAAGATGCAGGCTCAGGGTTTACTGCCCAACATAGTTACGTATACCACATTGGTTGACATTTATGGAAAGTCGGGTAGATTTACTGATGCAATAGAGTGTTTGGAGGTTATGAAGTCTGCAGGCATGAAACCATCCCCGACAATGTACAATGCCTTAATTAATGCCTATGCACAAAGAGTAAGTTGTCTTATCAACACTAATGTTAATGTGTGTGTGTGTATTTATTTCCGATTGCTGAAGCTTTAGATAGCTATCAACCAGAAGGCTATTCTTCTTACTTCAGACTACCAGTTTTATCTTTGTGTTTGGATCCTTGATAGTGAATTGGATAAGATTCTTACCGTGAGTGTGATGGTTGAGCATCCATTTGATCTTCCATATGAATGTTTGACAGGGTTTGTCGGAGTAAGCACTGAACGTGTTTAAGGTAATGAGAGCAGATGGATTAAAACCCAGTCCCTTGGCTTTCAATTCGTTAATCAATGCATTTGGTGAAGATAGAAGGGATACTGAGGCCTTTTCTGTGTTGCAGTACATGAAGGAAAATGTAAGTTATTTCTAATGTTGTCATAATTACTGTTACTGCACAGATTGGTACAACAATTGATCTTGTTTCTTTGTAACTGCAGGACCTGAAACCAGATGTAGTTACGTATACTACACTTATGAAAACCCTTATCCGTGTTGATAAATTTTATAAGGTATGAATTTCATATATTATCATAGATAACCCTTGCATCGTCATTGCATGCATAACAGCCAGGCCTTCAGCTTAAAAGTTTCATTCGAATGTACAAGTTGCATGTTTTTCGTTTCAGGTTCCAGCAGTGTATGAAGAAATGATTATGTCTGGTTGCACTCCAGATAGGAAAGCTAGGGCTATGTTACGGTCTGCGCTGAAATACATGAAACAAACACTCAGATCCTAAATGACATGATTTGAGTCATCCAGCCACAGTTAAATGTGTTCACCTGCTATGTTTGGTCAAGTGAGGTATGATATGAAGATTAAGGCCAAACCGGTTGATCTTTATGCTAGTCATAAGTTTCACACATGCCAGGATCTCCAGACTCCAATGGCTGTAAATCACCATCTTCGACAGTCTGATCATTTTGCAGGAACGATGATTCGCACTGACCATCGTGCAAGAGTATCCAACATCAAGGGCAATTGTGTTCCAGAGTTTGGGAACAATGACAGCGAGCACAGCACACCCTAGTGACAAACACAAGAACAGCTGAAGAAATACACCCCCATCACCATCACCTCACTCAAATTTTAGGTTGTAATTGTTTTCCACAAGCACCGCTGCACCAGATAAAATGTGATTCATTTCTTGTATCTTGTAAAAATTTGTCCGATTGTTTTTCATCATAAAGTAAATGTAATTATAAAACTAAATTGTATGTGTTTTTGTTCATATTTCAAAAGCAAGTATGCAAACGAATATGCATATGTTAGGCGTTAGACCGGTGGTGACATCAACTCTTGGTTATTCAAAGGTTTGATCAAGAACAACGATTAATTGTTCAGAGATTCGAGTAAAATGCAAGCATACATTCAATCCAAGCAAATAAATGATCACTTAAATTAAAAGAATATTTTGAGTATTACAGATAAACAATTACACTCCATGGGCTTAACAATTGTTCGTATCGTGTGTAAAAAATTAAAAATTTTAACTTAAAGAGACATCCTTTCTAAAAAATTTGGCATGCACCCCCCACCCCCCTATGATATTTCTTATTTTTGCTTCTCCTTTTTCCCATGACAACTAGGAACTTGAAATAAAAAAATCAACTTCAAATTATGGACCTCAACTTCTTGCTGCTCATGGTGTTTCACAATCGGTATTGAAAATCAATGGAGAAGTGGAGGAAATGTGCGGAACAACATGTCGATCAATACAGTGCAGCACGAAGCCTCTAACACGGACTTGTTTCTCAATATCAGATTGCAATAGCAGAAACAATTGGTCTAGCACACTTGCTTTTTGAAATTCTGGAACAGAACATGAACATTAACAGAACAGACGATAACAAGAAGAGCCTGAAATATGTTCTTATCTCCTGCATTCCTAGTTCAAGCACCTCCATCTTCTTTCCATATCTACTACTCCTCTCGACTAAATAACCTTCAAGATACTCATCTATGGATACCCACTTGTCTAATAAGGTGGGCACAGAAGCCTTTGAATAATTTTCACCAAGCTGGTCTGGCCCCAATTTAAAAATTGTGAAAAATGCAGCAGACCATTCATTGAGAACTCTCTGAAAGGAAAAAGATTTACACTGTTTTCATTGACTGTTGCCTCTATACATGCTGAAACTTAAAAGATGACCAAAAAACTGACATACATTGAAGGTAACGAAGTCAGTGGGATTGAACATTTTGAAGCAATCTCTTGATGAGGCTGCTCCATCTCCATATATCTGAGTCACAACAAAAACGATGCAAATTTGTATAGGTCCAAGTTGCTTTTTGATCAGAAATTTGAATTGGAAAAATGAAAAATAACTTGACAAACCTCAAAGGTGAAAGCCATTGGCACCCTTACAATGTCGAACATAAAATCAGTTGCTGTCCCATGTGCCAGGTACCTAGAAATAAAACTTGATGAAAAAACATATAATAACCATTTTAAAAGGGTAAGCATCGAAACCTACAAACTTTGGCTCACAATTTGAGGAGAGATATGGGGGGAGGGGTGGTGGTAAAGTTTATTGATCCAAATAAACCACTTAAAATTTCAGACCCAGCAGGGGCTTAGCCTTGCAGTCCAGCTACCACCACAAAAGATGGTTACAAAAGTATAGAGGCTGATCTTAAAATTTCAGATAACAATAGTAACAATCAACTGAACAATACAATAACGACTGCGAGTAATACTAACCCAACAGAACCTCCACCAGACCCAACCATGCAACGCTTTTGGCAGTGCAGTTGGTTGAGTTCTTCAAGCAATGACTTCATCTGGTGGGAGGAAACTCCATCTGGGGTTGTGTTCTTATGGTCGTACGGCATAAATAGAGCCTGAACAAACCCGAATCTGTAAGAAATGTGTCATATGCAGAGTACACAACCACCCTAAGTTGAAATGAAACGTAAAATTGAGAATCTCTGTGACACTTCAATGGTAATTGGAAAAAAAAGAAGATAAAACAGTATAAAGTGGCGAATCATAGGGTGATATTGCATTTGGTAAAATAGAATTGCATTAATCGTTAACTTCAAAAATGGTTGATATGACTTCGGAGTCAACATGAGGGAATACTAATTGAAAGTTTATGTGACCTACCTCCATCCCAGAGTGTATATTAATCCAGATGTGTGGATCAAATGACACGGCAACTTTCCGTATTATCTGAGTTTCAGGCTCGCTGAAAGGAGCAGTTCCAGGATTTTCCTCATATGGATCATAATCCTGGGATAGAAAAACCAAATAAAAGCAAAAGAATAGTCTTAAGCACAAAAAAGAAGAAATGGAATGACAGTTGAATACTGAAGTTGAGGAGAGGAAGCAGGAAACAATAACTGAAACTACATCATCTAACGGTGGGTTATATATTAAGTGCAGTGCTTTATAATCTTAAAGAACATCCATCTGAAGAAGACATCTTAATCAATACAATTAAAAGATAATGCAGTAAAGTATGATTAACCTTCTCTTTTTTGCCCCAATCTACGCTCCAATTACGGTTGAGATCAACTCCCCTCCCTGTCCAGTATGCAAATTTAAGCATTTAGCAATCCTTATAAGATGTGATAAATAAATCAAGGATTCATGCACACATACAGACATAAAATCTTGAAGAATTACCACACACACTGGGGCATTTTACTATTGCCATGCTATCCATGAAAATATCTCTTATTAGTGTTCTTTCCTAGTTGAAATAGGAAAGTGCTTACATGAAGAAGGATTCCTAATCGACGAAGGATTCCTAGTTAAAGATGGATTCCTAGAAGAATGAAGATTCCTACTCAAACAAGGTTTCCTACTTGAAGTAGGAAAGTTAAACCTAATTGGCCTTGAGTTTCAGCAACAAAGAAGTATTCCAAGTCAAAGAAGGAAAAGGAATCCAAAAAGAAGAAGGATTGATCAAGACAAGTTTCCCTATTCCTAATGTGCAAAGGTTTCAGCTACAAAGAGGAGTCCTAAACACTTTAGGACACCTTAGCCTTATCCTAGAGGAGTGCCGCACCAATTTCAGCAAGAAGATCTATTTTCCTTGCCTTGCAAGGCTTTCTAGAAGCCTTATCCATTGTTTCCCTTTGCTGCCGCAACTATTGGACCTTTTCCCCTTTTAATTCTGATTTCTAAGCCTTTTTCCTTGTGGATTTGGGTTATCCAAGTCCATATCTGATTACCCTAGGGTTTTAAGTGCCTATATATACTCTCATTCACCCCTTGGCTAGGGGGGGATTCGAAATCATGTTTATGCTTGCTATATGATTTGATTACTTCTAATTGCGTTTCATAAGTTGTGAATTCAATTTACTTATCTATATGAATTAAAATTGATTTGTGTGTGTTGGTTGAGAGTGCACGCTTAATTTTCATGCATAAGTTTGATGCTAGGATATAAGGGAATTTCACCTAATCGTTACGAACTTATATTCAAAAGTAGTAAAGATTGTTGATCACAATCGTGTTAAGTAAATTCTTGGCATAAGTTTCATGCAATTCATAGTAACAAGTGACTCGCCAATGCTTATGATTTTCATAAAACTTAATGATCTTTGCTTGTATCTTTGTTATGCAATTCATGCAGGGAACTTGTGAGGAATGCTTTGGGTTGTCGTATGCAATTCATCCAATTCGATAACTTTAGGAAAATCTGAGGGTTAATTAGTGCAATTCACGGTTAATCTGGAGCGTTGGGAATTCATGGTTTATTGAGAAGCAATTGGAAATCGTTTTGTATGCAAGTGTGACATGTGTGGAGAAGAACCCCTTAGCTAGCTTTCCATCCATTCACTTTAACCAAATTCGTTTTAAAATTTGTTTAGTTTACAAAGTTTCTGTTTGTTTTCAATTTTCGTCAAAACCAATTCCCCATTTATTTTAAAGTGTTAAAGTAGCTAGAAATCAATTTAGTTTGTGTTTTTAAGTGTCTTGAGTCAAGTTATAACCTATTTTCGTTCAAATTGTGTTTTGTGTTCAAAACTGCCCAGAAAGTGTTTTTAAGGCAGTTTTGAGTGTTTCTGGGCTGTTTTGAGTCTTTTGGTTTGTTTAGTGTTTTAGAGTTTAGTTTTGCATTCTTTGAGTCTAGTTTAGTGTTTTAAACTTTGTTTTTACGTTTTGAGTCAGTTTTCAAGTGATTTAGCAATCCCTCCTAATCCCCGGCCTAGAACGATCCCTACTTACATTCTTTGCTACAATTGATAAAAAGAGGGTTTAATTTGTGTGCTTATATATTTCGCATCAAATTTTTGGGGCCGTTGCCAGGGATTAGCGTTGCTAATCCCTTGGATTGTTTTATTTCACTTGGTGCGATGGCAAATGCCTTCGCCCATGAGTGGTAGGTCTCGGGTTCGAGACTTGGGAGCAGCCTCTCCATAAATGGGGGTAAGGCTAGCCGACATTCACCTCTCCCAGACCCTGCTTAAAGCGGAAGCCTTGTGCATTGGGTACGACCTTTTTTAGTGTTCTTTCATATAAAAGGGGAGCATTTGATTGACAGAGAATTCAATTTATAATGTTGTCTGTGTGTGCGTGCATGCATGTGTGGGTGCGTATATATTTTAGATCCCAGAAAACCAATTGCTTTACCATTTCTCCTCTCACAGAGGTCTCCTGCTTCAACAAGTTTACGGCCATTTAAGTTTTCCATTGGAACCACCTAATATAAAATTAGATATCAGAACACAAAAAATACCAACTTCATAAAGTATCTCCAAAGAAATAGCTAAGAATTGCAGCACATTACAAAGATGTCACCTTTATCAAGAGCTTGTCAAGGGTACTGTCTAAGGAGGCTGGGTCAAGGTTGGGTAGAAACTGTTCTTTACTCAAGATTGATAGGATTCGCAATGCAAGCTCGGATGTAATAAGCTCCCTTCCATGCTGCCCAAAACTCTGGAAGACAAGGAATCATCTGTCAAAAACACCAGCCATTACCAATCTGAGATTATCTATGACTATAAACAGCCAGCCCGCTATGCAAAATATAGTCAGAACAAATCAAGCTTATAAAAATACATGAAAAAAACCTTACAAGAAGGATTCGAAATTTTGGCTGGTCATCAGTCTCTTGCCTTCTCTGACTATAGGTAACTATTGCGATCTCAGCAGAGTAGCCCTTGTTTTGAGATTTAATTGTATCCAACTGTCATTCGCATCAAAGTATTAGAACATGAAATGAATTTCAAGGGGAAAATGATAGAAGGCAAAGGAAACCTACAGTGAGCTCGTCTGGGTGCCGAAAGACGAGAGCTTTAATTTCTTCCATCAAATCCTCACTGCAGACCAATAAAAAGGAAAACTTTGATGTTATACATTAATTGTAGATGATGTTTTCGCGGTTAAAATTAAATTGCCTGAGGAATTCATAACAAGTTCACATCATCGAGTAAGGCAAATAATTGAAAGGTGAGGGAGGGAATAGCCAAGATTCGCTACAATTTCTGACCAACCTAACCAACCATAGAGTCGGGAAACAAGAAATTACAGAAAGAAACAGAAAGCCCATCACAAGATTTAAACAAAAATAAATGAATCAGTAACTATCAATTCAGCAGAAGTCCGTAGAAGCCTGATGAGATTAATCAGGCAAAATACAAGGTTAGTGCAAAACGATTGGAAAACAGTAAAGAAATAAATGTTTGATAAAAAAAGTAGAGGTTACCTGGAGTGATAGAGATCGCTGTTGATGGGGGTGAGAGTAGAAGGGTGGGTGAGATTACTATTGCCATGGACGACCAAGAAAGCTTGTAACCACGCAAAGAAGCAGAGAGTGATGGATAAGGGAGAGGAGAGAGGAAGGAGATGAGCCATGGCATTGGTAGTTGACGATCTCTTTTTTCTCTTTTTCTTGTTTTCTTTTCTATGGTTTGGGTTTTCATTATTATTTCTTTCTTTTCTTTCTTTTATTTCGAGCTGTGTCTGTGTGCGCGTGGTGTGGCAAAATGGGAAGAAAATGGCAAAAAAAATGGCAAAAGAAGGAAAGAAACAAGGGAAAGACAAGGGTTGTCTTGTCTTTTGGTCTGTTTGTCCTGTTTTTCCTAAACGTTCGACGGTTGGGTGGGTGATATTGCCTTTTTTTTTTTTTTTTTTTTTTTTTTTGGTAAATCCATTCCGAAGAAGCAAAAGTAATTTACAAGACCAACGCCGAACCGATCTTGATCAGAAATTGATAGAACCTCGTGGGGTTACCACGAACAACACCATCATTAAAGGCAGACAGAGGAAAGGAGGTAGTGTTGTAAACAACCGAGCTGACATGACCACCAGAACTCTACACATACTCTCGAAAGAACGCATCAACATTTGGTTCCATCATCTTTTTGGTTCTATCCTCTTATACACGTGTTGCTCACCGTTTCCCTTTTAAGGCTGCACGCGTCGATCATCGTTGAAGGCTCTGCTTCGATTTCTTCCGTGTTTCTTTCTCTCTCCCATAGCATTTTGCTTCGTTTCGAACCTGGCTTTCTTCCTCTCTCGCACTGCCCCTTTTGTTGCTGTCTAATGTTTCCGTCTTTGTCTCGGCGCGATCATCCACCGCCGTTTTTGTTGCTGGAATGGTCTTCTGCTCCTGCGAATTTCTTTGGTTCAAAAGCCTTAGGTGGCTACAAGTTTTTGCCGTTTCGATTCCATCGAAATTCATTCTTTTCCTCGCGTGATCTAGCGTTTTCGGGTGAGTTTTAGGTCTTTTTCAGTGTGCCTAATTTAATTTCTTTTTTGTGGTTTTCGATTTGCAGGTGGAGGTTGTGTTTGGATTTTTTTTCCTGTGATTTCGGGGTTATCTCTGTGTGCTTTGATCTTGCGTGTGGTTGTCTAATTTGATTCGATTTTTTCTTTCAAGAAACACTGGTCATAAAATTTTAGAGCTTTTGTGTGCAGCGTTGGTAGCCCTTTGTGCTGAGTGTATACAATTTTTGTTTTTCCTTTTTGAGTCTTTTGTTTAAGAATTTTTTTTTTTTTTTGGGTGGCCTTTGGTCTGCAGATTCAACTTCTGTTTAAATTTTGGTTTTTTTTTTTTTCTATTTTTTTTCAAATTTTGGTTGTTTTGTTTATGTGTTCAGATGCCTGATTTTCTGACAAGGCGATTCTGGCCGATGACCAGAGAACTAGACCTCGCTACTATCGGTAAACGATGCCTCTTACTCCCCTGACAAATATTTAGGTATTGCATATTGGATTTCAATTCAGTTTTTAGAAAACAGACATGTAGTTCTTTGATTCTGCAGGTGAAGATAATACACATGGTAACATAGTACTCTTGCACCTCTGAATAACGGGTCAACAACCCAACTCCAAACTAGCAAGCAACATACCATCCATAACCCTCATAAAGTCGCATGGGCCACCACCAGGAAGGCCCCTCCAAACCCTCAGCATCAGCATCTTGGTAAATCTCACTCATGCTCTACTTCACAAGTTCATTGTTATTTTTAGTAATATATTCTGATTTCTAGAACTGTAAATTTGTATGTGGAAATGAATTTTCTGTGCAAATTTGGATATTTGGATGTTGGTTAAAATTAGCGGAATGGCTCCGATTTTGTTAGTCAATTAATTTAATTTTTTGTTTATCTCAAGCTTCTAAATGATTTCCTGCATCATTGCTTAGTTTTACTTACTGAAATTTGAGGGGTGAATTTTTTTACCTTATGAGCTCATTTGTGATTACCAAGTGCATAATTTTCTTTTGATCAGATTTCCTTTGAAGTGAATGCCAAACTGCGGTGTGATGTTCAAACTTTGTGGCCTTTTGAAATAGTTGGGAGCATAATTCATTCTACTACAGATTGTTCCCCTTTCCATTTCCATGAGGTAAAAGCTCAAATCTCTGTATTTTTGTGTTGGAGAAGTTGGTGGAACAAATTGTGCATTACTCTACATATGACCAATGTCTATGATTTTACCTATTTTGATAATGCTTGAATTATGCTTCTTGGTTTTTAATTGGGTTTTTGTGTAGTGAGTTGGATAGATAGTTCATAGCATAGGTTTGGTTGCATATCTATTGGAAAAAGAAAAACACGGAGAGCCACAACACACTGAGGATAAACTTTTTGTCTTCAGGTTAGCACTACTGCTTTCCTACCAGTCATAGGTGTGCTAATAGTGTTGAGAACAATGCCTAATTTCGTTTAACTTTTCTCATTTTGATAATTACCTTTTCCACTGCCTTCTTGAACTTGGAATTAGTTTGATAGCATTTTGGTTTTAAGCGTTTATAAAAGTATTTCATTCCAATGAACAAGTCATTGATCTATTAACTCTTATTTTGTTGAAGATTTAGTGCTAAAAGCTAGGAGTTACAAGTATTACATTCCATTCACCAAGTCATTGATATATTAGCTCTTATTCGCTAGAGGATTGAGATTTTAACTCTTCTCATCTTTGTTGCAGCCAATAACAAGAATAAACATTCTCCATTGCTTCGCCTGCTTCTATCAACAAATTGAAACCTAAACATTAAAATTTCATCACTACGATTTCACCCATTTATCATAAAATTGGTAGACATAACTTCATACCATCTCAGAGCAGAAATAAAGGTTTTAATTTTCTTTTACTCTGTTATTGCTCACTCTCTGTTTACTTTTCCTCAATTTAAGTCTCCAAACAAGCTACCGTTTGCTATCAATCTTCAATTTTTATTTTTCTTGCTTTGATTTCAGTTTTTTACTACTAATTTTAATCATTTGTGTCCACTACTGATATCTTGGTATGTTAGTTTGAAAACGTGTCCCTTTGAATTGTAAAATCTGGCAAATTATTTGAAGCAATTCTGATTTCAGCTTTTTGGTCTTTACAAATAGGAAGATGAGGAGACAAAAAGAAGTACAAAGGGATGGATTTAGCTTCCACTTTTGAGGTTCCAGGCACCCAAAAACTGCCGATTGGTGAGCTCAAAAAAAATAAAAAATAAAATTCTCAATTTGATATAAAGTTTGGATTTTCAAGTCGGGATTGGATTTAATTGTACATTTAATTTGATGGGTTCAATTTATATGCAAGGACTTTGCTTTTATTAATGCATAAAATACTAATTAAATTTTAATTAAGATGCTAACTTTGTAGGTACCCTGGAATTAACAATGTAGCTGGAGTTCTCTACTGGCTTAAGCACAGTAGAGAACTCAAGTACAGGTCTCTCTATCTGTTTCTCAATCCTGGAACCTCTGGCCTCCGCAAGAAGGTTTGTCTCTCTCTCTCTCTCACTTTTATTTTTTTAATTCGTAATCGAATTTCCTTTGCATAAATGCTAGATCTGTTGCAATGGGGCCGCAAATCCTACCCTCTGTTTGTTACTTTGTTCCAATTCTTGCAATCAATTTTTCATCGTTTATTTGGTCAATTCTTGCATTGTTTTATTTGGTGAATTCTCGATCAACGACTGGTTCTTCTTGCTTGGTCTAATTGGGTAACTTAAGAATTTCATCTGTTGATTAAATTTCATGTGAGAATTTTTTTGTCCTGATGGATCCTTTTTTTTACCATTATTCTTTTTTTTTTTAATTATGTAGCCGAATGAGTTCGATATTCCTTTGGAGTCTCTGCAAGTTTAAAGTAATCTATGTTGTTGTTTTGATTGTGCATTTTGGGACTTACGCTATTTTAATAAGAATGTTTTCAATTTAGTGTAATCTCAATCTCAATGGGTTTTTATGATACGCCTTATCGGTGAATTTATTTACATTTTTCAATGTTGGTCTCGACGATTGTGATCACTGCACTATGTGGATTTTGTTTGAATTCCCAAATTTGTCGAACATTTGACAAATGCTTCTTGAATAAATTTCGAGTAAAGAACATCTAAATATGACAATTTTAGGGTTTCAAATTCATTGGAAAATATGAAATAATATTGCATAGTTTTTTATTAATGTGAAAAATTGGTACTTTTGTAGTGATATATGCTTTTGGAGAAAGTTGTAAAGTTTGATACTTTCCAGCTTTAATCTATTTTTTTCGTTGTCTTAAGGTATAGATCCCCGCATTTAATTCACTTTTTTTTTCAGGAGCAGTTTGAAGGATTAAAATGTTGTCATTTGGAATAGATGATCTTGGTTTAGCAAATTGATAGTGAGATGGAACACCCCTAACTGCGTTGTAAGTTCGACTCACTCATCCTATAAGAGTTGCTTCATAATTGTAATATTCAAAACCAGATGACTTTTTCAGTTATGGTTCGATTATTATTTTCCTTCAGTTGTTATTCTTCATTTTTGATGTGGTTGCTGTTTGTGATTTCCATTCCATGTGATCCATACTCTCAGTTTTCTTTTCAGAATTCCTCTCTTTGCCTTTTCCCAATGTTAATATTTTCTCCATGATAGAAATTTTAGGGTCTATGTTAATATTTTATTTTATTTTTTAAATTTAGATCCTACAAGTTCAAGGCATTGATGATGGAATTAAATTCAATGCTGCTCATTGTTCCTTATTGTAGATAAGGTTATACAGGAGCAAGACGTAGCACTGCATCGCGCGGGCAGTCTTGCTAGTATATACTAAACGCCTAACTTTGTGGTTAATTCCCTTTGTGTCCTTTTTACTGTTCATTCGCCGGTGTTCTTCCGTTTTTTCCCCTTCTTTGTTTCTGTGATCACTGTTTATTATACAGTGTGATTCCGTCTTTAGCCCTGCTTTAGTCTTTGGTATTTTACTTCATTTCTGGATTCTTCCTTCCCACACCGTTTCAGTCTCTCGACTCTCCTTTTCTGTGGATGCTTCCCACCGTTTCAGACTATCGACCCATCTCCCTCCTAGCCTCATCTCCCAATCTCCCAACTTATTTTCGGTTTAAACTTAAATCTCATATGAATCTCCTTGGTCTCAAAGGTCTTCTCTCCTCTGAACCCAAAAAAGCTTTAACCTTCCGACAACACTGGCAGCCATAATCTAAGCGGTTCAGCAGCTAATAGGTATGCCTAATTTCGCATTTCAGTATTGTTGGGTAGAATTCAAAGGAACCCAGATGGAGAGTTTTAATTTTTATTTGAATTGCATGTTATCCAGATGAAAATTTGAATTTGCGATCTAGGGTTTTTTGATTTTTTTAATTTGGGATTTCAATTTTATTGCTTTTTCGCATATATGATAATGGTTATGGTTTTTCTAGCGAATTTTGATTATTTTACGATCTGGGTTTAATGATTATAGATGGGGATCAAGTATAATATGTGTGTAGAGATTCTTCTTTTAATTACTATGTGTGTAACAGCTTTGTTCAGTTAGCTATCTAATTGTTGATTATCAGTTAGGGTTTTGAGGATCCAAATACAATTCTTTGTAGGTTTAATTTGTCAAGAGTTTTGCTTTCTTTTTAATGAAAGAATAAGAATTTCTTTGTTTTGATGCTTCCTGTGTTTATTGCTTAGTTTGCAGTTATTTTTTCTTTGGTTTTCATCTACTTATTGTTTTAGGGATTGGGGATTGGGCTAGCACTCTTCTCCACAGGTAGTTTTTAACTTTTTGTATGTTTAAGTTTTTTTAATATAAATTTTGAGTGATGTTTCATTCTTAAGCCGTTGTTTTCTTTGCTTTGCAGTTTCAAGTTTCTATTTGCACAAAGAACTTTCATACAGGGTATAAGTTCTTCAGGTGTGTGCTCTGATGTTTCTCGAATTTAGATTTCTCAAATCGCTATTGTTTATTAGATTTTCTTTCGATCTGATTCCAATTGAGTTCGATTTCGAACTTTAATTTATATTCGATTTTGATTTGCATATGTCCTAATTTCTTTGAAGAAATTTAGAGATGAATGTATTCAAGTTGGAGACTTTGAGTTCAGATTTCTTCAAATTCAGTAGACCCATTTGTTGCCCTTCTCTCTCCTCTCTTTCTCTCTCTTAAATTCAATATTATTTATTAGTTGAAGTTGACGCATCTTTTGCACCTCTCGAATGCTGAGGTTCAGATTAATTCCGTAAAGATTCCAATCTGGCAAAAGTCTAAACTACCTTTTATATTTTGATAGCAAGATCCCTTTGCTTATCAGCATTGTCAAACATGTTTATGATCCTTTCATTTATGTCTTAGACATATTTCTATACCATGAGTGCGTCTGCGGTTGATGAGCCAAATAAAAAAATTAGTACTAGAGTGTGACATAGTTGTATTAATGGATCCCTAATTCTAATAAATTAAAGATTCTCAACTCCAATATGATTTAGGTGCTGTTTCAGATTTTGTGTATCTCATTTTGGAAGTGATTAATATGTGCTCTGTAATTTTGGAAGTGATTAATAGGTGTTCTGTAAAGGTTAGTCTTATACATCTCTAAATGTAACCTATCTACTCCTTCCAAACCTCCTTAACTTAGAACTTTCCTGTTAGGTAGGTCAATTTCCCAAGGAAACATTTGATGCCTCTGGAGTTAGGTTGGTTCTCTTTTCCAACCTTCAAATTTTAGTAATCATATCAAAAAATTGAGTTAGTTTTAAATAACTATAGTTAGGCTGTTTGCGTTTTACTATGCGTACATACATACATATAGAGAAGTTTTGAAAACCAAAAATGAACCAACAGAACTGAAAAGGCTTGATCCAATTAATTTCAAATATCCCAAGAATCCACATATCATTGCAAAACCAAATTCATCACTTTTCAAAAAAGCATGGCAAAGGGAGTTTGTAGGATTATCATCTTAATATAGGCCAATGAGATTTGAAGTTGGAATAATTTTGTGGATACACATAATATGTTGATTCCTATTGGTTCTTCATTATGACCTGTGAGACATATATGCTTTAGAAATTTTAATTTTCCTGTTTTATTTTATCTTTGTTACATCAATATTTTTTGTTGGATTTGATGGTTAAGGTGAATTGAGTAATTAATGTATAATATCTCTTTTGATTTTGTTGATGCACAAAACCGGAGGTCTTGGAACAACGTAAATCCAACTATAAATCTGCAAGAAAGTAAATAACACAAGATGTATCGTGGTTCACCCTAATGTTTGGGCTACGTCCACACTGATTATTGTATTTCTGAGAGGATTGTGAGGGAGAGAGTGTGAGAACCTCTGTAATGAGAGTGAGGTTCTGAGAGAGGTGAGAAGGCTTAAGAAATGGCATCCCCTAATTGTCAGGGTGAGGAATCCTTTTATAGAATAAGGGTTCCTCACTTATTACATATTTGCCCATTCCTTTATTACATAATTACATTTAAGTCCCCTGAGTATTTGTACAAGATCTAACTACGGAGACCCTAAGAATGGTATAAACAGTAGTCCCCTAAGTCTTCAGTCAAGAGAGTCTTTTGGCTGGAGACTTGAAATTCAATCCATGTGTGGGTCGAAGTAACTAGGTGTTGTCTTGAACTAATGCTCGATATGAGGCGGTGCTCAATCTGAAATGATGCTCAACTAGAAGTAGCACATGCTGCGAGGCTGCTAGGCTTGTGGCTTATGTTGCCTTGGTTGGCTCGGCTTGTGGCGTTGAAGGTGAGGGAGTCCTTTTATAGAATAAGGGCTCACTCCTCAATACATGAATGATGGGTTCGAGTTGATGCTCTTTAATGATGGTGAGGTAGTTCCTTTTATAAAATATGGGCTCGCTTCTCAATACATAAATGATGGGCTAGAGTCCCCCAAATATTTTTCATGAATGCTATCTAATGAAAGTGATGGAGTCACTTTTATAAAAATAAGGGCTCGCTCCTCAATACATAAGTGATGGGCTAGGTCCCCCAAGTATTTTATATTTTTCATAAGGCCCAGTTGAGGCCCAATATATGGTACATAATGTAGTCCCCCAAGTTTTCGGTTAATAAAGTCTGTTGGCTGGAGACTTCAGATTGAATCCATGTATGGGCCGAAGTGGCGGTTGTTTGGAGGCGATATTTGTATACCCTGCACTGAAGCTTTGTAGGTGAAGCTTTGTAAGTGAAGTTTTGAAGCTGGAGTTTTTGTAAATGAAGCTTTTGAAGCTAGAGCTCTATAAATGAAGCTTTTAAAGCTAGAGCTTTTGTAAATGAAGCTTTTGAAGCTAGAGCTCTGTAAATGAAGCTTTTGAAGTTAGAGCTCTGTAAATGAAGCTTTTGAAGCTAGAGCTTTTGTAAATGAAGTTTTTGAAGCTAGAGCTCTGTAAATGAAGCTTTTGAAGCTGATTGACATGAGTAATGCTCATGAATGTTTATGTTGATTAACATGAGTGATGCTCATGGATGTTGACATGAGTGATGCTCATGAATGTTTACATATGTGATGCTCATGAATGTTTATGTACGATTGACATGAGTAATGCTCATGAATGTTTATGTATGATTGACATGAGTAATGCTCATGTATAATTTGAAGTACTGGGCGTACTTTTGATCACCTAGTGGGTGATAATAGCAGCAGGTTGCCGAATAATTTTGGAGTTCTGGGCGTACTTTTGATCACCTGGTTGATGGTAATAGCGGCAGGCTGCCGAATAATTTTGGAGCCATAGGGCTTGGCTCTTTTAGGCATATGGGCCTTCGCTCTCCACATAACATTACAGCCCATTATTTTAGGTTTGACGTTTTTTTTTTAATTATTACCCTCTGATGGAGTTTATACAGATGTCTCCGAAAGATAAGAAAAATAAATTACATCATTAAAAAATAAATCTGACTCTTTGCTCAATGGTCACGCACATAATTCTCTTTTCTGCATGCCTTCACCACCGCAATTATCTCTGCTTCTCTGATGAGCATCACAGCTGTCATTGTCTTCCTTTATTGTTGTCACTTCGGCCCTACTTTTTCTTCTTTTTGACGAAATAAAGGTAATTCATTTCTCTTCCATTTTATCAAAAGCTGAAAGAGCACTACTTGTATTGACGTTTCCCACCATCTCACTCACTTTAGTTGCAGTCTTCGCGGACTGAGCATGTGCTTTAAGGGTATCTTGCCTCCTGTATCTTGATTTCTAAAAGCCGTGTATTAGACACAAGATTATCAACAACAGCTTTCCGTTGGTCAAGTTGAGATTTCAAAGTATTAGAATTATCTTGCTTTCCAGTGGCTTCTTAAAAAAAAGTGGGAGCATGTGCAGCATGGTCAAGATATATCCTTCTCATTTTTCTTTTTCTTACTTTTGCTTTTCTTTCTTTTTCCCAAAAGGACCCATAACACATGATTATCATTCCCCTGTTCAAATATGGAGACCGAAGACTTGCACGACTAAGCTCGATCTATGAAGAGCAGTGAATATGTGGTGGCGGATCTGACCATGGCGATAGAGATTCAATGCATGTTTCTAGTAATTCAAGATCCCCATAAACCAGAAGTCAAAATCATCCATAGTAAACTTTTACGATGGCTTCTTCCTGTTCTCTCTCTGGTTGATCGTCTTGATCTTCTTCACTGGGATCACCACCTTGTAGTGGACTCTGCTGACCAACTGTTGTCTGAATCTGACGATGGAAGTTTGATCGATCTCTTACTACAAAACGCAATCTCGTCGGTCGAGATGAAGATGAGGTCTGCCATAGGACCGACCGTGGTCGACAGATAACACTGGGATGCCTTGAGCAGCTTCTCTCCTGCGTTAGCGCTGAATGCGTGCTTGAACACCTCCAACGTCCCTCCTGCTTTTACAATCTTAGCCCCTAACCTCAGCTTCCCCTTCACTGTCTCTATGATCTTGGGCCCTAGTTTCACTGCACAATTGAATCAAATAATAATTTATTATGTGACTCAACTTCTCATGTTCTTTGACTCCATGGGCAAAACTGTCAGCCTTGTTGGTAAGCTTGTTCATCCTGTTAAGCATTGAATGCACCGAATGCAATCTACTGAACCTTCACCCGTTACTTGGATGTGCAAGCTCTGTGGGGTTACACCGTCGAGGCGGTTGTTATCGAGGAAAAGCTCATCGAGGTTCGAAAGGGATCCAATTGAGTCAGGAATAGCGCCGGAGAACGAGTTGCCGGAGAGACTGAGTCGACTCAGCAGTGTTAACTTGGAGAGCGAGTCCGGGGTCGATCCGAAGAAGTCAGCTTGGTCAAGGGTGAGCTCGGTGAGCCGGCTGGTGGACGATGAGTTGTCGACCGGGTCACAGCGGAAGCCACAAGTGAACAAAACCGTTGAAGAGGTTGTCGCAGGGGTCGAGGGTGAAGTCCTAGGAGCTGACGCACCAGCCGGGACTCACTGAGTCAGGGTTGAGTGAGTTCTTGAACTCCTTGAGAGCTTCAATGTCGGCCCAGAAAGTCTTGGGTTCTACTAAAAGTTGTAGATTTGCAAAGCATCTTCCATGGTTGAACGTCACCCTTGCATGGAGGATGACCCATATCGAAGTCTATCATTCTCACCATCTTTTAAGACCTTATCAGTTTTTAGAGCGCTGAGATATATTCCCATATCCAGTAATTGGTTTGCTCAACTTTTGCAGAATCGTTGACCATCTGATCCGACAAGAAACCCATCAATTCGGATTTCCAATCATACAAAAATCGAACGAATTGCGATGCATGCAAAGCATCTGAAAGCTTTTGTTTTGGGGCGAAAGGGATCAGAGATCTCCAGGAGATTGAATCAGGGCTGTGGACGGTGGATCTGATGATTGATTCTCTTTTTTTTGGAGCTTTTGGTTTTGTGTTTTTGCAGATTTTGCAGATTTTGCGGTAGAGGTGAAAAAATGAAAAAGAACCGACATAGTTTTTTGTGTTGATTCCCACAGACGGCGCCAAATGTTGATGCACAAAATCGGAGGTCTTGGAACAACGTAAATCCGACTGTGAATCTGCAAGAAAGTAAATAACACAAGATGTATCGTGGTTCACCCCAATATTTGGGCTACGTCCACACTGATTATTGTATTTCTGAGAGGATTGTGAGGGAGAGAGTGTGAGAACCTTTGTAATGAGAGTGAGGTTCTGAGAAGGCTTAAGAAATGGCCTCCCCTAATTGTGAGGGTGATGAGTCCTTTTATAGAATAATGGCTCCTCACTTATTACATATTTGCCCCTTCCTTTATTACATAATTACATTTAAGTCCCCCGAGTATTTGTACGAGATCTAAATATGGAAGCCCTAAGTATGGTATAAACAGATTTAATGGTTGTGAAAATATGATGATTTGGTAGTTATTATGATGGAAATGCATGTTAAAAAATTATGAATTTAACATGACTGAATTCCAACTTTCTTCAATTGATTGAATTATGTACTCTTAATGTCAAAATTTCTTAACATCAGGTGATCAATATGAATGGATTTGATATGGGAAAGTTAGCCTCTAAACTAAATCCCATTTCCAAGTGATGTTAGGTGACATAATTTACCGCACTATGTCTTTAAAGGAAATGTTCATTATTTTATACTCATAACTGCTGTAATTACAGGTTAGTTTTATACTTTTTTTTAAGAACTATGCATAGTAGTTGTTAAATATTATGACATTTGAAAATCCTTAATTCTATGATTGGGATATGATTACTGTGCGTTCACTTTATTTAATTACAATTTCCAAGTGATGGAAAATTTAAAATTAATTTATGCCACAATTGTTAGGCACTATGTTTCACTAAAATTCAAGACGAAGGTGAAGTCGATATCTGTATCCTTCTACACATGCATTTTGCAAAGTTTGATGATTCGCCTATATTTCGCCAACTGGTATGTTCATTCTAAATTTTTATTCAAAAAAGAGAGAGGTAATGCAGCAACTTGGTGTTCTAATTATATTGGAACCCATGTCGTTAGAATTACTTGGAATTCCTTTGTACCAGAAAAGAAATTACTTGGGATGAAGAAAGTGACTACTTTTCTCTGCTTTTTGTTGTTTATTCGTTTTTTTTATATTCGTTAGTTTTCATGAAGTTTTGATGTTTGCTTATTGATGTTTGCTATTTTGTATACAGATACAAGGCTTGGAAGGAAGTGTAGAGTCGACTACCCAAATGAGGAGACTAAGGGTTGGTTTGGTATTGTTGTGCTTTGAAAAAAAACTGTTGTGAGAATAAACGGTTGTGCTGTGAAAATAAGCGGCTGTGAAATAAATCAGCAGAGTGTTTGGTAAACTTTTTTGTAAAAGTGCTTTTGGAAAAAAAAGCAGTCTGATAGTGGGTCTTTTCATTAAATGAGCACTGTAGCTCCGTGTGCTTTGAAAAAAAAGTCAGTTTTCCAAAGCTGCAGCTTTTTCCTTTGATTTCAGCTTATTCTCACAACAGCTTCCAAAATAAGACCTTTTTTTTCAGTTTACCAAACACCTAAAAACCTCACAGCTTTTTTTCATGGGTACTTTTCTTTTAAGCACCTCACTCCCAAACCACCCCTAAGAAATGAGTTTTCGCTCTCTTTTGCTTGGAATGGTCAGTACTTTCAATTCTTCTTCGTTTTTTTTTTTTCTTTTTGGAAAGCATGAGTGTAAAGTTTGATCACTGAGTTTGACAAACAAATATATTGAAATATAAAAATTGAAATGAAATTTGTCGACTAGATTATCTTTTTCTTAACTTTATGGGTTGCTTTGTTATATAGTTTCAAATACATAGGATTAGTTTCATAACTTTATGGATTGCTTTGTTATTGTTTTTGGTTGCAGATTTAACCCCGTGAACTTGAATTGGATCACTCTTTGGTCAAATGCTTATTAAGTCTTTGTTCCGCATGTGGACCGTCATAGAAGAGTTCCTACCGTCAAATTATAACTAAGACTGCAACAGCTATTGCTCCACCATCATTTCTAAAAAAATAGGTAAAAATCTCTCATCTCTACAAATCTTTTTAACAATGAACCAATGAATGCACAAAAAAGTTTAGTACGATCTTATTTTTATGTCTTTCGCTCATTATCTCATTGAACAAATCAATTCCAGAAGCCATTTTAAGTATGCTAAATACTTTAGATTTGACATTTTGTGTGTTGAATATCAAGATAGAGAAACTTTTCTCTAGAACACCATCTGACCATTTATGCATTCGTTTTTCAAAGTTAACAATTCTGCAAAATGAGGGTTTATATTTCACTTTTTAAACAGTTTAAATTTTTTTTTTTCACTTTTTAAACACTTTAGACCAAATTTGTTTAAGCATAATTCAATTGATTGGTTTGAATACGAATAATTTGTAAAACTTTTAAGGCCATAGCTCAAACCACACATATGTTTTGTTATCTCATATCATTATCATACATAGTTCAAAACACACATAATATAAAATTTGACATAAACTTTACATGTTTAGGTAATAATGCCTAATGTTTTCGTCTATGCAGGACCTGGTCTGCCAACAGTTTTAACTGCGTAAGTCATTTTATTTAACTTTCGGTAAGTCCTTTTATTGTTCTGATCTTTAGCAAGAGGATCCTTTAACAAATCCAACTATTTTAACAAATCCAACTGTCATTTGTTCATATTAACTTCTATTTTTCCAATTTCTAACAGATAAATGAAAACACGTACTACCAGAAGAAAGGAGGAACAAAGTGAAGAAACAAACCCATTAGATTAAATAAGTTCAACACTATTCATTGTTTCTTATTCTAGATAGGGTTGTAAATAGATTTATATAAGCACTATGACTTATAATTTATATTTACAACTTTCTACATGTTTTATACAATTTCAAAACCCGCAGCACCGCGCGGACACTCTTGCTAGTCTATATCTAAAAGGTGATTAAAAAGTGAGCAATAGAGGTGGTCCGAATATATAACATGTCTTTCTTACATGGATCATAGTGTAGAGTGTAAACCAAATATACTATTTTAAATTCATTGGGATTCAAGAACTAATCACTCTTTCAAACATCGGCAAGATTAGCGACAAGATTTACGTGCACCTAGTTCGACCACACGTAATTCCTCCATGATTAGAAGCACATATGCCACATAAACACATACCGCATTGGCCAAAATATCCATACTCACAGACTAAATTGGCCAAATTAAAAACACAATAATTATAGTTAATTAACAAGGGGTGTGCTATCTACATACCCCAAATTACTTCACACACATCCTTTGTTAATTTTTATCCTTTGATATTCTTCAATTCATCTGATCTGACGACCGAAAATTAAAAAAATATGTAAGAAATAAAATGAAATATGTGGATATCACATCCCATTAACAATGATGAGCATATCCACGGGAACACAACAAGTATCAAAGGAGTAGTAAAGGAGTGGGGTCCAACGAAACGAATTTTCGGAGTTGGGGATTGCATTGGAGTATAGCCATGTGATGTTGGTCCAGAGTGACCCATGCTTCTATTCCATCTCCCAACTTGGTGTCAACCAAAATTATAAAATTCAAGAAGACGGAATTCCCAGTCGAACCAACGCTGCTGACCCAAACAGGTTTTCCCCACCCGAAATCACCACCTTCGTAGAACCCAAAATTACACCAACTGCTAAACCCATAATAATCTGATTCTGATGACGGCGACGATCTTAATTCCTCCAGAGACTCCAGCATGTGATACTTCCCCTCCTCCTCCTCACCTGCAGATCGCATTTTGTTAACAAAATCACCATCAATCTTTGACACTGCATTCCTCAACTCCTCCACCAGCCCATGCAATTGCAATCCATCAGCTGCCGCATCATTATCATCTAGCGTAAATATTGGTGTCTGGCATCGAGCAGCCGCAATCCAAAGGAGGTTTCCAATTGAGTACTCCAAATCTAAATCCAACAGAGATGTGATCCTTGAGCGGAGGTTGACTGCGTGGGTGAGGAGTGAAGGCCTTCCGAAACCATGTATTTGTTTGGAGGCAGCCATGGCACATTGCCATATGAAAGCCGAAACAACCTCAACACGCGTCGGCCGCTTCACCTTATAATTATTATTCACTGCTGCCACCATGCCCTTGAGGGCCGCTATAGCTGACCCCTCAAACACAAGTCTTCTTGTGACGCACGAGGACTTGCCGTCGTTTATGAACAAGGAACCCCACATCCGAAGTGATGAATCTCTGAGCCATAATTCATCGCTTGTGGGGAACAGACAGGTTGCAGCTGATAAATTGGGTTTGGTGGGGTGAATTATTCTCGAAGCTGCTCTTGGTGTTTGATTATCATCTGAATCTGATGATGATGACAATGTAACTGAATCCGAGGATGTCAACGAGGACGATGAGGATGATAATGAAGATGATCTTGAATACAATGCAGAGCGGGGGAGGCTGCTGCGCAAACGAGCAGTGGCAGTCCAGGCCTTGATAAAGGTGCACAAACCAGCACCATCAAGGATCTTGTGGGAGATGCATAGGCCGATGGCCATGCCGCCACATTTAAACACATTTACTTGAATATTAGTTACACTTGCACCTGTATTACTATTTGTAAGATCACAAGGGAGGAATCGATGCAGTAGCAAAATTAAGTCATCAGGTCGGTTGAGAAATTCACGCAGAGTAGAGTGCTTCACTCGGGCTTCCACGTAATGAGCTCCTTGGTCGTTGCAGTCGATGGACAGGTCATCTTTGATCTGCCCAGCAAGTGGGTAGAACCCAGTCAAGGTCTCTGACAAAGATGTCTTCAGCACATGTAGCCTTTTCATGATTGTGGCCTTGTCTTCGTTGTCGTCGTCATCATCATCATCAAGGTGAGTGGTAGTAGTGCAGGGTTTTATGAGGTTAGGAGTATTATAACTAGGATCAGAATTGTCATAATACAGGATAATAGGAGCAAAGGGAGCAGGTATGAGCTGATCCAAAAGGGAAAGCTTAAAAATTCGGAGGTGAGAGGGCGTTGGGGAGGATGGTATAATTCTATCTTTGGAAACAATTTTTACTTCCATTTTCATCATGAAAGTATGTGGTGTATGTTGTTTGACAATTTCTTAGTCCCAACTCAGGTTGGTTTCGTTAACTAGCTAGTTTATATATATATTGGTTCTCCCATTTCCATTTCAATCAAGACTTGGATTCAGACTTTGAACCCTAATAAAAAAATCATTAACTGATGTTTTTTTTTTTTTTCAGATTTGGATTCAGACTTGGATTCAAACTGCGTACAACTAGGCTTTCTTCCTTCTTTAATTTTAGTTTTAATTTTACAGATTTTATGTTTTTTTTTCAGTTTTATATTATCTTTAATATTAGTTAAAATTCATATAAGCATCTATGTCATTTAATAAATAAATAAGAATCATTGGATGTCATGTAATCAAAAAGCTTAAAAAGAGTTTGTCCCTTGAACCTATCCCATATATATATATATCTTCCTGTCAACAACTAGCGAGGCTAGTGCCCATTCTGACATGACTTTGACATGCCAAATTGCACAGTAGGCATGTCGAAACGCATTGAAAATCTTCAAACAATGTCAAGTCCCATTTTTATTCATAATTTTCGTGCACAATCTGCATCCCACAGTTATTATATGATTTTTAGAAGGTCCTCCAACTTATGGATTCGAAAAATCTCGCACCGATTTTATGTCTCGATCGGCAGCAAAAGGCATCTTCCTGCATGAGGTCCGACTCCAGCTTTTTTTGTCATATTAGGGATACCTATACATGCATCGGTCATTTTCTCGCTAGGCATCCGGTTGCCCACTCTACTTTTAATTTACTCTTTGTGATGTTTATCAGACTGAAGCGTGCATACATTCATACATATTATTGATAATGACCATCACTTTACTAACAAATAACAATAGCTCTCTCTATATACAGACAAACATTTTGACAAATATTTTTACACTTTTTTTTAATCATTAGATTTTATAACATTTAATGGTTAAAAAAATGTAATGTGCATGTTTTTAAACATTAGATGACATCGATTATAACTACTAATTAAAAAAAATAATGTTGGCAAGTGACCCTCTACCACAGTGGTGAGGATGAGTGTTGCCCTTGTATCGCGGCATGAGTTCGAAACATGTCGACTCCATTCAACGACTTCAATATATTCTGTTTTGATTCGACTTACACACAATTTCGAAGCACGTATGACATATTAAGCTATCACTCGATCTCTTAAATCCTTTGTTAGGTACCGTAAACAAAACGAAATCCTAAATCTTCACTCTTGGTATCTTTGGGTGATAAATTAGGTTGTAGAAAACTTTGATTACGTAAATTTTACATGAAAATGGGGAGGAGGAAGGAAGGCATATATGCGGGTGTGATTGTTCATGGAAGCCTATTAGAATCGTTAGAATTTAAGTAATCTAATGGCCAAAGAGGAGTGTAAAAGTATTTGTCAAAATGTTTGTTTATTGATCCTAACCTTATATTGGGATACACTCATTTTCTACTACATATTTTGTAACGCTTATTATGTAACTTTTTTTCAAGGAACCAAACCATCTATATTTCAGTTCATCATTTATATATAGATAATCTTTTCAAAAAGTTATACAAATCCAAAATCATTAATACATATATTTGTGGTGAAGAAAATGAACGAGTACTGTTTTGTAATGACTATCATTTAATTAACTGAATGGTCATATGATTTCTTTTTTGGGTGATTTTTGGTAGACATAATCTTTGAGGAAAAACCTAAAAAATAGACGATTAGATCGTTAAAATACATTAAGAAGTGAGCCTTACAAAATATATTCCTCCCTTCCTAATCCTGTAAATATATATGGAAAATTATACATTGAAGCTAAGGGTTGACATAATCAAGGAAGCATGAGACAAACCTTTTCAGTTAAGAATCTAGCTAATCTAGCCAGCTGCTAATTAGTTATTACTTAGGACTGTGATGTTGTGTACAACACGTATTATATATGATAATGATAGTGATATTACTTACTAAAATCATTATATTTTAGCTAGGTACGTGTACTCACTCTAACCTAGTTGGTTAATTTCATTATATTTTTGCTGTATAAATATTATAGCTCTTGAATCATGATATAGAAACTTTCGCATCATGCATGCCTATTATTGTTTCATGTGCATGGCTACAGTAGTAGGTAGGGTCGTCCTCTCCTCAATCGCATAGCTCGCACAATAAAGAATTGAAGAATTAAAGAATCCAATAAAGCTTAATAAGCTCCGCCAATAGTACTGTGTGATGTGTGTAATTGTGTATATGGAATAACGCATCTATTTTTTATTTTTTATTTTGAGTTCGAATACCGCATCTGTTAGCGGAGCTTATTGGATTCTTGTTTGTCCTAAACCCTGAATAAGTTTAAACAGCCGGCTTGCAATATTGCAGCTTATTGTTTGTCCTAGCCCCCAAATAACTACTCCTAACCTTCAACAACGTTGCTCTCCTAACAAACAAAAAATATTCACTTTGCTAATTACGAAGAACTATACAAAATGTGGTGGATGTTAATGCAACAACAGTCGCAACATCAGTTACACAAAACGCAACAAAATTCAATATTCTGATTTCTCTTCCTAATTGCACCATAAGGAAGTCAACCCTGAGATCTTGGGGGCTTTAGGCGTTTAGGCGAGCCTCTAAGAGAGGCTCTTGAGATTCTAAGTCATCCGATGTGTCACATATTTATATAAATAAAAGTGAAAAAACGTCTAGGATATCTAGTACAATAGGAGTCCTGAGTTAAATTAAACGGTTGGACTTGGATGAGCACAGGTTAGCCATAACAAAAAATCAAAAACACCAAACAAAACATATAATAAGCACAGAAACCTATCATTACCTCAAAACATCACACAATCAAGTTTCCTTCTTGCCCTTTTCAATAGATAACATAACTAAGTTACTCAATCTCTATCGAAGACAGTACACTACTCGATCAACTTCAAATTAAAAAAAAAATCGTAGTATGAAGATTAATTACCTCAAATCAATCTTCTAAACTGTATGAGATAGTTAATTTGCAAATCTATTGAAATAGTGATATGGAGATGGAGTTCTAGGGAAATGCTCAAAGAAATACAAAACCCTAGGCCTTGGATCGACTAAACGGACTGAAAACAAAAAAATTGAAAAGAAAAAAAAAATGTGTTTGGTGAGATCGAACTCATGCCCAACAAACAACGGAGTTTCTAATTCACAAATACGGTAACAATCCAATTTTAACAAAATGCTTAATTTTTTGTTATTACAAACCTAACACATAAGATAAAAGAAATTTTGGGGACCCTCTCAGGAGGGACAAAAACTTGTGTGGAGCTTAGCTTATTACTAGATTTTGCTGAGTGGTACTACAATCCTCTCAAAACTCGCCACGTCGCAAATCTTAAATATAATTTTTTTCATTCTCTTATATTTAGCATTCTAATAATTATATTTTTTTACTAATTCATTATACACCATGAGATCAAATCTAATGGTTCATTTTTTTTCTTCTTTTTCTCTCTCTCTCATTTTTCTTCCCATTTTTTCTCTGCCGTCTTCTTCCCACAAGTTCTCTGCCACCTTCTTCCCTCTCCTCTCTCTAAATACAAACGTGCAGACTATTATCAAGTTGATTTTTTCACAATCTATTTGTACACTTAACTCTTTGAGTGGATTTCATATTTTTACAAAGAACCTATCTAAACTAAAAGCAGGACATCACTTAAGGTTATTTAGCTTATTACGCCATATAATAAGCTTAGAAAACCACTCAGCATAAACCTATCATTTGAAACAAAATCAAAGGTTAGACTAATATATTAATAAAATACTCATAATAAAGAAGGTAGATGTCACATCCCGATCCAGGGTCCACCACATCTCAAACTCGACTCTGCCGTAGCACTATATTGTCCGCTTTGGGTCCTGACCACGCCCTCACAGTTTGAGTGGATTTCATATTTTCACAAAGAACCTATCTAAACTAAAAGCAGGACATCACTTAAGGTTATTTAGCTTATTACGCCATATAATAAGCTTAGAAAACCACTCAGCATAAACCTATCATTTGAAACAAAATCAAAGGTTAGACTAATATATTAATAAAATACTCATAATAAAGAAGGTAGATGTCACATCCCGATCCAGGGTCCACCACATCCCAAGCTCGACTCTGCCGTAGCACTATATTGTCCGCTTTGGGTCCTGACCACGCCCTCACGGTTTTGTTTCTGGGAACTCAGACGATAACTTCTCAGTGGGTCACCCATCCTGGATTGCTCTCGTTGCCATCTCACTTAACTTTGGAGTTCCTAAGAAATCTGAAACTAGTGAGCTCCTAAAAGACATCGTGCTATATGGAGGTGAGCATGTACATATAAGGCATAGAGGATCCACTCTCCTGGACGATGTGGGATCTAACAATAAATGTGTCAGGATACCCTAATTTTTATTATGAAATATAAAGAAACCAAATACCCTCACTTGAACCCATAAACCCCCAATTATAAGAAAGAAAGAAAGAATTAACTCTAATATGCGATCAAATAAAATATTGATAAAGAATTAAAAAAAAAAGACCTTAGAATTTTTTGTTGCTTCCCATGATAAGAGTTGGATAAGGTATTTTTTTGGGGTGCATAATTTTAATTTTTTTTTTCGAATAAAAGCAAGAAACAGAAGTGGGAAGGAGAAGAAAGTGAAGAGAGTTCTACGGCAAAATATAAAGGAAAATTTGGGAAGAAAAAAAATGCACTATTAGATTGATCTATTTATATTAATTAGTAGAAAAATAATTATGAGAATGTTAAATATAAAAGAATGGTAAAATATTATATCTAAGACTTGCTACGTGGTGAGTTTTGAGTGGATTGTAGTGCCACTTAGCAAAATCCAATGGCAAGCCAAGTTCCCGCACTTCGAGCAGTTTACGTGTCTCCTCATTTCAATGATTATGTACCAACTGTCTATTATGGCAATCCGTTTCCCAATGTACTTCGTTATGACCACCTAGCTCGGATTTTTCTTATTTTGCTCTTCTCTTTCACATAAGTTCCCGGCGAGAGGCTGTTAGCAGTCTTTCTTTTGTTTTGGCTGCTCGTAGGGTAGTTCAGTTGCTTATGAGATATCTTAAAAGACTTCTCGGCCAAAACGGATAACGGCGGCTACCCTCAAAGCTGGTCTCGGAGCATACAATGCCCTAAATGAAACCTAAAGCCCGTCCAAAATGAATGCTCATTTTGGCAAACCCAGTAATATTTTTTTTCTAGTAGAGCGATAGCCTTAATGGGGTGGATGGGGAGAGGAATCGGTGGGAATTGAATGCACCAGGATACATAAACATGATTGCTTTTTGCCTTTACAATAAAGCGCCATCGATAATTTTTAAGCAATGCATAAGTGAACTTCCTAAACTACAAGTCTCTTTGCAATCCAATATTTTTAAATTCTAAAATGTTTTTGAATGCTCTTGTGAGAATTGTTAATGTCAGTTCAGTATTTCAGCTTGTATTCCCTGGCACCCCCTACAGTTGACCGTCGCACATCGATCCTGGACGTATGTCGGGATCAGAGTGTGACATGGTGCCCACAAATAGCCTTCCAAAAAAAAAAAAAAGCCTGTTGGGGCACCTTTTTTGTGTTTTGGGCAATTAAGCAGCCCTTGCTTTTGCCGGTGGACTTGCTCTAATGTGCATGTTGGTTGGTTGGTGCCTATTCTATTAATGTATTTGGACATTCTCACTTATCAAATTCCATGTCATTTTGTACTAAAAAAAATACTTTTTAATGCTTTTGGCTAGAGATTAAAGATGGAAAGCAAAAAAATAATTTCAAAGGCATTCAATGTCTTGTATTTTGTGCAAAAAAAGTAACACATGACAAAGTGAGATCGTCCAAATGTAAAGGTTAGCACAAAATTGCTAACATTTCTCTAGATATCTATCCTTGGATTGGAGCCCATTGGTCAAGTGACGATTTTTCAATTTTAGAGGGCAAAGTGAGACCCGAGTTTTGTTGCGGGGGCAATTGACACAATTAAGCTTAGGCTATGGGGCAAGACTGTAAATGAAGACCTTATCTTTATACAACTAATTGATCCTCGGAATAAAAATAGAATAATAAACAAAAGATAGAGATACAGAGCAGTGAGTCAGTGACTGTATTTTGAGATCAGATTCAGGTTGAAAGGGAAGAATGGAGAAGCTTATATCAAGAAGGTACAAAGAAAGACCTATGCCTGAGGGTTACATATTCCCACCCGATGTAAGACCCGGAAAGCTTGCTGTCGTTCCTCTATGCAACAACACCATTCCAGTCATTGATTTGGGTTTGGATGGTGGAGGAGCAGCACAAGCTTGTGATATAGTTGGCCAAATACTTGAGGCCAGCCAAGAATTTGGATTTTTTCAGGTCATTCAAATTCTTCCATCTGTAATTCTGTATGTAGCTTGTAAGTTATTAGTACTAGTGTATATCAAATTCTAAATGAATAATTTTTCATTTTGTATATGAAGAAGAGCAGGTAATTAAACATGGGATATCAGAAAATTTGTTGAAGGAGACAGTGGGATTGTTGAAAGAGTTGTTCCAAGAGTTGCCTGATGAGGACATTGCAAGCCTCTACTCCGACGACCCCAACAAAAGCTGCAGGCTCTTCACCAGCACCAGCGGTGGAAATTTTGATGCGGAACCTGTTCATTTTTGGCGTGACAGCCTCAAACACCCTTGTCATCCTCTTTCACAGGAATGCAACCAACTTTGGCCTGAAAAACCAACCAGATATCGGTAAGTCCAAGCTTAGATAATGTACATATGATGTATTTTCAGACAGACAGCTAGTATTTAGTCAAAAGGGTTTATTGATGAGATTTGAATTCAGAGATGTTGTCGGGGAATGTTCGACACAAGTGAGGGAACTGGCTTGGAAGATCTTGGAGCTAATGAGTCAAGGACTTGGGCTGGGACCTGGGTATTTCAGGGGTGAAGTAAGCCAAGAAATGTTACTGTCAGCAAATTATTACCCACCTTGCCCGGAACCAAGTTTAACACTAGGATTACCTAAACACGGTGATCCAAACCTTATAACCATTTTACTCCAAGGGGATGATCATGTCAGTGGTCTGCAAGTTCTCAAGGATGGGGAATGGATTTCTGTTGTTCCTTTTCCACATGCGCTTGTGGTTAATGTCGGTTATCAATTACAGGTACAGCTTCCCTCTCTACCATTATCTTCCTCACCGATCGCCTTCTTTTGGTTTGCCATGCGTGACCATTGACAAATTATACACGGTTGCAAAATTGTTGCGGGGATATTGTAGGTTATCAGCAATGGCAAGTTGAAAAGTGCTGAACACCGGGTAGTGACGAATTCAAGTGCTGCTCGGATTTCAGCTGGGTTTTTCGTGATGCCTTCCCATGATTGCCTTATAGAACCTGCTGCAACTCTTATCAATGCAAGCAATCCCCAACTTTACAAAGGCTTCCCATACAAAGACTTCTTTCTCAACTTTGGTAAAACGCTGGGAAAAACCGAACAAGTACTGGATCGCTTTAAGCTTCAGGGTTAGCTAGCTCAATGCAACTTGAAACGGGATATTCAAAAGTTTCGCTTTAAGCACTGCTCATTTGATCAAATGTCATTTTTGCTCTCTGACGAGGCTAAAACTTACAAAGGTCTCCGACTACAGTTGGAGTTTATTTTGGGTCATTTTATTGATAAGTGCCATCTCTGTGAAGAACTGAGAATCGAGTTCGAGTGAAATTTGCATAGTTGTGCGAATCATGTGTATCCAATTAATCTCGAATACATATGTGATGAGTACCGCAATATATGGAAATTTGTTTATTTTCATGTATATACGCATTCTAGTCTGCAACTTCATCTGCATCTGCAAGTCGTACAAACTTCTACGGAGCGTTTAACACTGATACAAAGAAATGCGATTATTAATATTTATTCACAGGCACAGGCACAGACACAGGCCACATATTATATGTACAGAGAGCAAAAAATGTCAGTCTTCCGACGACCCTTGGTCACACTCTCTTGTGCTCTTGACCAACAGCATTGTCACTCATGATTCACGGAACCCAGTTCGTTCTTCAAAGTTCTCCTGCCCAACCACAACTTGCTCTAATGTTCATGTCTGCCTCCTCACCGTCATCTCCTCGATGATAAACCTTATAATTTTGCAAAGAAACAATTAAGCCATATTCCATTACTCAAGTTTTAATTTAAACAGGATTTGACAAAACCAAGTCACCACACAACGTTTAGAATCAAGTGTCTATTTGCACAGAAATCAGAAATCAAACACTATAATAAAGTGTTCATCAAAACCATAAAACAATAACATCATATGGTGCTGAATAAATGGTACCTTTCTGAATTCTGATGATAGTGGATCCTAGTAGACACCATCATAATTCATATGGTGCTGCGAACCTTGCTGGGTCCACGGTGGCAGGCATATTGAATCCAAGCAGGGATGCGATCAACCCAAACTCCATCTCCATGCTTGCATTGTGAGGAATGGCTGAACTGGAGATCCCATCCATTAAAGCTCATTCACGGTATACAATGTCCACCTTCTTCTCTGTTAAATCCAAATTTCAAATAACCTAGAGATGAAGCAAACAGGTGTTAAGGGAAAACAGATTCCAACGCTTTCCATGTCTCCTCGGTGTCTGTTGTTATTAAAAGTATGCTCCGCCTGAGAAAGAAAGAGCGGATTTTAACTAGTTTATTAGTGAAAGTCGATAGTAGTGGGGAAATAGAATGAAATGAAGAAAAATGTGAAATCACGGTTAACATCCCCTTCCCCAGTTCCCCTTGTTGGAACGTGAAACTAGTATTCAAGCAAGATGAAGCAAGGCAGAGCATAGTAACAAAGTATTACATGCCGAAGGCAGAAGCCAGCAGCAGGCAGCCCATATTCATTTGTAATGCTTCTGTTAATGCCTCCTAATTCGATCGGTGAAACCCTAAAACCCTCAACCTGTTGAAACATTTGGAAAAATAGCCTAAATTTAAATCAGAAATAGAATTTTAGCCAACTATTACAAATTGTTATAGTTCTAACCAAAACTTGATATGAAAATACTACAATATTATTTATTAACTAAAATATTTTCAAACCTATATCTTTTCTATCTATTCATGGCTTTAGTTCAGATCAGTTATAGACGGGCGGTTAGATTGGGGAAATTTGAAAAAATAGCCAAAATTTAGATCAGAAATAGAATTCTAGCCAACTATCACAAACTATTATAAATCTAACCAAAATTTAATATGAAAATACTACAATACCCTTTCTTAACTAAAATATTTGCAAACCTATATCTTTTCAATCTATTCATGGCTTTAGTCCAAAATAGTAGATGACCAAAACACAGTTATAGGCTTAAGGCGGCTCACATCATCGTAGACGATTGAAGATTTTATTCATCGAGATCCATACGAATGCACCTACCCATTGGCGGTAAAGGAAAAGCCAAACAATTGCTCTCCAAAGTACTCAACCATATCGTCCGTCTGATAGAATTAACACATGTAGTCATAACGGACTGGATAATTATTCTCTTTCTAATCTCAGCATAAGCTGATTAAGGTAGGCATATTATTTCCAAAAATCCATTTATATTTCGGCAAATCCAACTCAGAGCATCTGTGCAGTGAAGATGGACTTCTTGACAATTAATATGCCCCTTTAATGGAGATGGTCGACCCTATTAAATGGAAAATGCATTCTTTATGCATAAGAGACTCCCTCAGCTTAAAGGAGAACATAATTTTTAATCGACATGTAATATAATTAGGACATCAATGTCGAGCTCTTCCTCAAGTTTAACAACCTTGTTAATTTCCTCCATGATGGCTTTGACATATTCCTCCTCATAAATCCTGTGAAAAAAAAAGAAGGGAATTTTGATACATAGTCAAAATTTGGACCGTGAATGGATGGAGATGATATATTTTTGCAATTAATTTAGTTTAAAAGGGTATTGTAGTACTTTCATGTCAAATTTTAGTTAGAATTATAAAAAAAAAAATAATGGTTGGTTAAAATTCAATTCATAGTCAAAATTTTGGCTATTTTTCTAAATTTCCCCAACATTTTAGTGTCATTCCAAATTAATCTCAACATTTCTAAACATTCTAAATAAGTATCAAACTTATTAAAAATGTCATATCCATTAAGCCCAATTAATTTTTCAAACATAGATTAAACTTGTATAATATGAAACCCAGTAATCAAACATGTATTGAATTGAATAAAAAATGGACCTAAATTGAAATTACATCAGGAGGGCAATCTCTTAACAAAAAAAAAAGGGTTAAAAATTCAGATAGGGCTTCAAGGAGTTTGTTTATGTTCATGTGATTCCTTATTTGTTGATACTTGACTCGTAACGCGTCCAGTTATTTTTTGTGGGTGGTGAAGATGATGGTGATCGTATCATGGCAGTTCATACCATTGTCAATAACCTCCATGACCTTCTTCTTGATGTTGGCCACTTGAGTTGCAGGGTGAAATTGGTGGTTTTGCGTAGGGTTTGGAGGTGATAGCATGAATGGGGTTGGTGGTAATCGTTAGTTGGTGGATGGTATGCTTTTATGACTTATGTTGATAAGCGTAGTTAATTTAATAGATTTTTAACTGAGGCTTAATAGATGTGACATTTTCAATATGTTAGGTACTTATTTGGAATGTTTAAAAAGATTCATACCAATTTGGAATGACACTAAAAGGTTAAGGGGGTTTAGGTACTTAAATCATTTTCTTTTCTTCTGAAAAAAGAGTAATGGGCCTATGGCCCAATAACATCCTCAGCAGTCAGGCCCAAAAACAAATAAAAGTGAACACAAGCTCCCCGTAGTCCTTTATTATAAGTTTTACACTAACGACATGTCGTGTGCAACCGACGCAGTGTGTGCGAGTGCGCAACTATAAATTAGGGGAAGAGAGGGAGGGGAGACGGTTCGTTTTAGGGTTTTGCGGAGCAGAACAGAGCGAAAAGAAGAAGACCAACAGTCAGTAAGTGAATCATGAGCAGAAGTTTGGGAATTCCGGTGAAGCTTCTTCACGAGGCGTCAGGGCACGTGGTGACGGTGGAGCTCAAGAGCGGTGAGCTTTACAGAGGAAGCATGGTCGAGTGCGAGGACAACTGGAACTGTCAGCTCGAGAACATCACCTACACCGCCAAGGTACTCCAGCCTCTCTCATCTATCGTTTCTTCTTCGTATATAGTTTCTTCAATGTGCTGTTATTTTTGCTTTCTTTGAACGCCTGCGATCTCCGCTGCCATCTTTTGAATTAAAACCCTAGATTTCATGCGCTTGCACTGACACTGCACCTCTCTCTTACTGAATCTGATGAACCAATTACAAGACAATGTTCCCAAAAAAAAACCCTGAGCTTTAAGAAGTAGAGTAGGCTTAAAAGCCGATGAAAAAGTTGGATTGAAAGGTAAAGGAATTGGAATTCTGCACTCTATTAGGCATATTTCCCTAGATGGAGCTGAGTGATTATTTCCATATTTTAGGATCGGAAAAGGGGGAGAGGGAGAGGGTGAAGAGTCTTAGGCAATTATTGCGTTTCTTTTTTCCTTGCTAAAAAATTGCCAACTTAATCTTATACGTCCTGAACCTGATGGTCAATTTTGAAAAGAAGAGAAACGGAAATTAGTTTAGAAATATCCGATGTTGGATGTTACTTAGTCGCTCTTATTTTCAAAGCTTGAACAATTACTTTATCTTTGTTTCATTTAGTTTCTGACATTGGTACACTCATCTACAGGACGGAAAAGTTTCACAGCTTGAGCACGTATTCATCCGAGGGAGCAAAGTAAGGTATATAATGACGGATCCTTTTTGTATGACAGCGCCCATACATATAATTTGGTCAAGTTGTGTTTCTTTGCTACTCCCAATGATTGTTCCACTGATATTGATTTGAAATTTTAATAGGTTTATGGTCATACCTGACATGCTGAAGAATGCTCCAATGTTCAAGCGCCTGGATGCTAGAATCAAGGTATCATTCCATGTCTAAATGATCGTTGAGTTATCGATAGTGATGAATTTTGTTTTTTACTGACATTTTGATTTCTGAATCTGGAAGGGCAAGGGTGCTTCACTAGGAGTTGGCAGAGGTAGAGCTGTTTCAATGCGGGCTAAGGTAAGCTCTTCTAATTTGTACTGAATCTTAATAATTGAAAGCTTGATGCCTTCCATTTGAACATTCATGTGTGAGAAAAATGTGGAGACAGCACAGAAGACTGCATTGTGAGAAATAGAGGGTTCCTTGATTTAGTCTTCTCTTCTAGCACCTTAGCTTAGGCATAGGGATACAAAACTCTGAAAATATGGCTTGAACACCTCTTTTATAGAAAGAGAAAAGGAGAAATGGATTCAGCTTTGAATAAATATATTTTCCTGTGCAGGCTCAAGCGGCTGGCCGTGGGACAGCTGGTAGGGGTGTTGTACCACCTGTTCGGAGGTAATCAGTCGGACGTAATCAGCCCTTTGTGCGACCCTTCAGCATCCTCGTTGTAAAAGAATAGACTTTGTTTGGGAGATGAGGAGAAATCAGAAATTGCGTATCTTGACAGGCTGTTCTCGTTTTGTATGCATGTTATGTTTTGGATGCTGCATCTTTTGACCTTACATGTACTCGATTTTCTTGTAGTTGATATTGTTGATGTAATAGCTTCGTTTCAATCTAAATCTGCAGACTTAGTAGCCTTCGTTCTGTTTATTTTCTCATAAGTTATAAAGGAGAGAAGGAAAACCCTGTGGCATGTTTTTTCATCATCCAACCTTCCCGTGAGCCTGTGGTAATAGTCGTCGCTGCTAGAATGACAGGCTCAAAACCTGATGAACATGAGACCAACTCCAATGGTGGGTTAAAAGTCAAATTACCCTCCAAAATTTTCTCCCAAACCCAATCCAAGGGGAAAATTTGGGCTAAATGCTAAATGCTAAATCAAGGCTAAATTCCCTTCAAAATTTAGCCTAGAAATTGGAATTTAAATTTTTCAATATTTATCGGAATTTAAAATTTTTTTATATTAAAATGTTTATAAAATTAATTTACGATAGTCTACATATTTTTTTTTTAAATTTAATTTAACAAAAAAAAATAGCCTAAGTTTATTATTTAATAATCCCGGGCTAAAATTTTAAGCTAGAACGATTGAAGTAGAAAAGCTGTTTTTGGGTTAAAAGCTAAATTTTTCGAGCTAAAATATTTGGCTCTTAGCCCAACCATTGGAGATGGTCTGATAAGTACCCTCATCATGGTGAACCACAATCAACTGAAAGAATTAAGGGCTTTTCCTCCCTTTGTTGTGCCTTGGCCCGTTTGTCAGTGTGGAAACGAGATTCAGATTACAACCTCACCAAAATCACACTCAGTTGAACAGAATAAAATACAAGAAATAAAGACACCGAGAAATTTACGAGGTTCGGCAAAAACCTGCCTACGTCCCCGGAGAGATATTGCTCTTCACTATGAGAATAACAGTACAAGTACACATGAGTTAAATCAACATAACCCAATCCCAAATCCCTTGCACACCCACTCATAGAATTTTCCCAAGAGCCTCACTCTACCCCAAGAGTTCTTTCACTAGAATACTTTTCACTCTAGCTCTCTTGATTTTCTCTCACCCGTGCCCATGCTTTCCCATGGGAGAGCCGAATGCTCTCACCCTTTGGATGCTCTCTGATGTTTTCTTAGGAGAGAGCCAAATCTCTCATTCTCTCCCTTCGGTTCTTAGCAAAATAAATAGCAAAAGAAAAAGGAATCAACTTTCCATTTTTCCACAAACATCATCATTAAAGTAAAAGCAAGCATCATCATTATGGTTTTACTCATGATGATGTCCACCAAACTTTTGCTTTTACTTTGTCTGCAATTTTCATGCAACCCACACCATGTGATATTTCCACCGAAAGCAAACACAGGTCACTTCATTGTTGTTAACACATGACTCATAATTACTCACAAATGTATGAGCCAAACACAACACCCTTACTATTTATATTTCAACAGTTCAACTAACACACATATGGATAATGGATATACATGAAACAAATTAAATTTCGACGAAGAAGTTTATAGAAATTGAGGAAAAGCCAACACATAATGTAAACAAATTAGTGGAAGTTCTAGAAAGCAAATGCAGAAATTCCAAGGGTTGGAAGCATCTGTTGTAGAACTAGAACCTGTCAGAACCACCCTAAAGAATCGGAACGGTAGAAGAGCGTTCTGTCCAGTTACGGGCCATGACGCAAATTGCCCAGGCTTGCATATAGTTTGGTCATTCTCGTGCGCTCTCAGATTTGTCCACGTCTTCCCATCCAGAGATCCATATGAGAACAGTAACATATTCAACAACAGGATTACTTCATTCTCTTTCCTCGGTGTCCCACGATACTCGTAAACACCCCCAAAAGATTGCATTGAGAACCTTTTCTTCAGAAGTCAGTCAAATCTGGATGCTGCAAGCCAGAGATATTATAAGTTGTCAAGTTGTATTTGAATCAATAATTCTCATTACAAGTACAATTAACATTTTCTTGTATTAAATATAATTCTGCTTTATATTTTGTCCCCTTCGAAGTTAAAATTGCAGCCACACCCTTGCCACAAGGTAAAACTCACTGGTCTCACTAAGGTGGTAAGCTTACTCCCTCCCACAGGACGCCTTTCCAACTTCAACCTCACTGGTCTCTTACGTTAGTCCTTTTGTATACATGACCTCATGTATTAATCCGGAGCCTTAATTTATCCGTTAATACTGATACTAGTGACTTGAACAGTAAGATCCTACCTGAATGATATTGCTAAAGGTTGTCTCATCTAACAAAACAAAGTCAATGCTTGCGGTTGTACAGTAGTCAAAGTGTATCGAAAAGTACGTCTAGCAAGTTTCCTGAATAAGTGTGCATGATGGAATCAATGAAACCACTTGAAGGAGGGGGGGGGTTAAAACTTATATTTTAAGCTTTATTCCAAGAGTTGGAGATAGTCTTAAAAGTAATGTTATACTTATCATATTTTTCATACAACACTTGTACTATTTCTTTAATAGGCCTCGTTTGGCAGCTCGGACTGTACTGACTATTTCTGTCGGATAGGATAAATAGCCACCGGATAGTACTGACTAAATTAATCGGACGTTTGGTGCAGTATCGGACTAATGATCGTATTATTTATACTGTGTTTGGTTATACCGGATAGGAGGAATCAAACTTAAAATAAAATTAAACTTAAAAAAAAAAAAAAAAAAAACTGAAATCAGCTTTTTGTTCCCAGATGTCTCCGCACCCCCAAACACCCTCCCTCTCCCTCCCTTCTTCTTCTTCCCCGACTGCATAATCCCAAATAATTTTTCCAGTCTCTGCGAGCAGATATCGCCCTCTTTGTGAGTAATGCTTTAGAATGTCACAAAAAAGTTGACCTTTTTTCCCGACTGCATAATCAAAACTGCATAATCAAAACTTAAAATAAATATAAAAAAAAAAAACTGAAACCATCACTTTTTTCCCAGATCTCTCCGCCGCACACCCCAAATTCCCTCCCTCTCTCTCCCTTATTCTTCCTCGACTGCAGAAGAATCCCAAATTGAAATTATCTTTCCACCGCACCATGTTTCTTTGCAAGACCCAGTTGCAGGGGAGGACGGCGAGTGGATGAAAGGACGATGACGATGCCGAGAGGACGACGACGCCGAGAGAACGACGACGAGGGAGGCGACGGGGAAGGCGAGAGGAAGACGACGACGCCGAGAGAACGACGATGAGGAAGGCGACGAGGAAGGCGGCGGGGAAGGCGACGAGGAAGGCGACGGGGAAGGTGACGAGGAAGGCCACAAGAAGAGGACGACGAGGAAGGCGACGGGGAGGACGACGACGATGCCGAGAGAATGCGAGAGAGAGAGGGCCGAGTTCGCGAGAGGACCGACTAATAATCCGAGCCTTTTGGTTGGGTTTATTAATCCGACATATACCCTCTTAGATAAGCAGACCGGTTAAATTAATCTGGCGCTTATTTAGTACGATTGAGCGCCAAACACCCGCGTCCGTATAACTAGTCCTATCCGATCCTTTATCTGATCTGTCAAACAGGAAGTCCACCAACATAAATGAATTCCATCTCTATTAAAAAGGTGGTACAGATGTGATAAAAGTAACATTTTTTTGTTTCCTAATTGTAACTTGTGTGTGTGTGCGCGTGTGTGTTAGAGACAGGGAGACAGAGAGAAAGAGAGAGGTTAATACTAATGCTAATGCTATGTGAGTACTGAGTAGTCATAGTAATACTAGTGGATCGTGGCAATTGGCAATTTACCGCAAAGGGAACCCAAAAGTAGGTTGGTTAGAAACTAACCAAACTTTCAATTAGCGTTCTATTTTAGGCTCCATGTATTTTCCAATTTAAAAAGCCACGGACCCGGAAAGCCCGCGAAAAGCTTCTGACAGGCACCAAGAACGAACACACAGAGCACCTGCAAATGGAATCCATGGAAATTAAGGTTAGGGTTTCGTTATCTTCAACCCGGATTCCAGCGGCGAATTATGCATTCATGAACCCTAGGGCAATGCTATTGCTAGTTCGTTTACTCGTGATTTGAAGTCAGAATTACTCTAAGAAACTAGGCTTTTGTTTTTTGATTCATCTAGAATACATATATGTATAAAGGTGGAGGCCCATGGTGATCGATGGAGAGATCAGAGACGAAGGTGAAGGTGGAGGTGGCGGAGGCAGCGGAGGAGGAGGAGAGATCAGAGATGAAACTGCGGAGGGTGTGATTGAATATGTTGCTCAATTCGGAGATTACCGAAGGACGCAGAGGAAAGAATGCTACAACCTGGTGCGGCGTATGAAGCTCTTGCTGCCGCTTTTTCAGGAGACGCGGGAGCTCGATGGGCCAATTCCGGAGAGGGGTGCTGCTTGGTTGGCAAATTTGAAGAAGGTGCTTCTCATGGCAAAGAAATTGTTGAAAACTTGTAATGAGGGGAGCAAAATTTATCTGGTTAGGCTTTTTCCCTTTGAAAATTAATAGATGTTCAAATTCGGAACCGTGAATTATTAATTTATTTGTTGTTGCGGTAATTTAGGCACTTGAAAGCGAGGCAGTCATGGTTAGATTTCATGCGGTTCATGAAAGACTCGGTCAGGCTTTAGAAGGTTTGCCTGATGAACTTTGCCTATCAGATGAAGTTGAGGAACAGGTATATACATATTTGTCCCTTTTCCCGTTTTCAAGCTAATGCTTCCCATGTGTTATTTCAATTTTTTTCACACATACAGATCTTTTATCAATTCAAACTATTCTCGCTTTGCTGCACACGTTTGATATAAGTTTGTGTATCAAAAACTTGTTCCTGATTGTCCCGGGGTGGGGGGTGGCGTTAATCAGGAGATTGGTAATTTCTTAGACGAATTAATTAGCACTCCAATCCAGTCTGGTTTTGTTTCTGATATAACTTTTTCGCTTTGTTTCAGGTTGAACTGATGATCATGCAACTTAGACGAGCGAGGAAGCGAACAGATACACAGGACATAGAGCTCGCAATGGATATTATGGTGGTTTTGTCCAAAAAAGAAGATAGAAATGCTGATAGTGCCATTATAGAGAGGCTCGCCCAAAAGCTAGACCTGCAAAAATCCGAGGACCTTAAGATAGAAACAATAGCTGTGAGGAATCTGGTTAAGGATAAAGAGAGAGGAGGGCCAAGTGCAGAGACTACGCAGCAAATCATCGATCTTCTTAACAAATTCAGACAAATCGCAGGAATGGAAGCGACCGATGTACTTGACGGCCCTGTCATGCCTAAAATGCTCGAGAAGTGCCCGTCTTTGATGATCCCTCATGAGTTCCTCTGTCCAATCACACTAGAAATAATGACGGATCCTGTTATTGTTGCAAGTGGACAGGTGAGTTGCTTACATGAAACATGCACTGGCTAGGTTTCCCTAGTTTATATTTTTCTTCCTTCTACTCATGTCGTGTGTATTGGAGCATAACTCTTGTAGAGTAAAAGTAAACTTTGCGCTCAGTTTACGTTTACAATTGTTATATTAACAGAACGGGAACTGATTCATCTTTTTTTTTTCCTCGGGTTTGGATATTTCATTAAAGACGTATAACAGAGAAAGCATACAAAAGTGGCTCGACACCAATCATAGGACATGTCCCAAGACCAGGCAGACTCTGGCTCACCTGTCACTTGCACCGAATTATGCTCTAAAAAATCTAATCATGCAGTGGTGTGAGAAGAACAAATTCCAGCTCCCGAAAAAAGAAACTTCCACGGGCCAGGAAAGCTCCTCCACCGAACACAAAGAGGAGATCTCATCATTGGTTGACCAACTGTCCTCAAGTCACTTAGAAGTGCAAAGGAATGCGGTCATGAAGATTCGTTTGATCTCTAAAGAGAACCCAGAGAACAGAATTTTGGTTGCCAAAGGTGGAGGAATCCCGCCACTGGTGCAACTTCTTTCCTACCCAGATTCTAAAGTTCAACAGCATGCAGTAACGGCTCTTTTGAACTTATCGATTGATGAAACAAACAAGAAATTGATAACCAGAGAAGAAGCCATTCCAGCTATTATAGAAGTTTTGCAGAATGGAAGCACAGAAGCTAGAGAGAACTCTGCAGCAGCTTTATTTAGCTTGTCGATGATTGATGAGAACAAAGTAATTGTGGGAGAATCAAATGGCATTCCGCCATTAGTAGACTTGTTGCAGGACGGGACTATTAGAGGTAGAAAAGACGCTGCCACGGCACTGTTTAACTTATCTCTGAACCAAGCAAACAAGGGGAGGGCCATTAGTGCTGGCATTGTACCACCACTACTCCAGCTACTCAAGGACAGAAACTTGGGCATGGTCGACGAAGCGCTCTCCATCTTCTTACTTCTTGCATCACATCCAGATGGACGACAAGAGATTGGACAGCTCTCATTCATTGAAATTCTGGTGGAATTTATCCGGGAAGGAACACCCAAGAACAAGGAATGTGCAACGTCAGTTCTTCTCGAGTTGGGGTCAAGCAATTCCTCTTTCTTACTTGCCGCACTGCAGTTTGGAGTGTACGAGCATTTGGTAGAGATCACAAGGAGTGGAACCAACAGAGCTCAAAGGAAGGCAAATGCACTTCTGCAACTCATAAGCAAGAGTGAACAAATTCCTTGAACGAGTAATAATTAATCTGTGTGTAGAATAATATTAATATTTTCTCAATTTTGTTGCTTTTATTTGATTTGATTTGATTCTATCCTTCTAGGGTGAATGAAATCACATGTGTATGTATATATAACAACGTCCACAAAAATGCTACGACTCAATATACAACTTTCAGTTACTTCCTTTTATCCTATTTTGGCTTATAACAATCGAGAGCGGTCTAGCAAAGAAACACCTGCTCAAGATCTACTCTCGCTCAAGACCAATCCCTAACCAAACCCCTCCCTCGCTCTACCCCCAAATCCTAGACCTTAAACCACCTTTGCCTCACAAAACCACCCATGGCCATCTTTCTCTCTCTAGCATTACCCTTAGTTATGGAAGGAAGAGTTATGTGAGTGAATTAATCCTCAAGAGGTGTTAGAATAATGTTTCAAAGGTGCAGAGTTTTTGTGAAAACATGAACCTCAAAGGGTATTAGTATAATTTAACCTAGAAAAATATTAACATACGAAACCCGGACCAGTTAGCTTGTCCGGCCCACACACATCACCCGGTCTCATTTGTTTCCCTCCCCATTCTCAGACCACACCCAAGACTCACGCAAGAACCTCTCCATATCATTAGGGGTGGATTTTTTTGCCAAATTGCCATACCAACCGAATTGCCAACCGTGTCATACCGATTTTGTGCCAAATTTTTTGTGCCAATGGTAATGGTACGGTATTGTACCGTACCGAAAGTTCGTGGTACGGTATTGGTAATGGATATCATTACCACGGTATTACCATACTGTACCGAAAATATAATATAATATATAATTTATATAAATTATATAATATATAATTATAATATAACACATATTTATAAATTATAATATATTTTCTTTGTTTGTTAAATGGTTTTCAACTTTAATTCTTCTTACTACTAATATGTTTTCTTCGTTTGTAATATAGGCTTGACACAAACTCAATCTTCTACAAGTTCAATGCCTCCTCCAAAAGTTTCGACATCTTAAACTTGAAGAATTGATCAATGAATTTTACCTTTTGAAGTTTAGTTTCAATTTTCCTTTGGTTTGAAACTTTAACTTCTATTTGGATTGTTAACTTCTATTTGTTTTGGTTTGTAACTTCTATTTGGATTGTAAGCTTAATTTTCATTTTGATGCATAATTTGAATTATTGTGTGTGTGAATTATGAATGATGAATAATAGATGAATTTAGGCTACAATTTAAATTACTGCTTTATGTTTCCATTCTTTGTTTTAGGCTTATAATTTTCAAGAATTCATCAACATTTCATGCGGCTGTAAATCCATTTGAATGTGGAAATCCAAAATCCATTTGGGCACTTGTTATGAGAATTTTCTTCCGTCTATGCATTTGGTTTATATATCTTTGTCTTATTACAGAGGCACAAAATATGAAATGTTGAACAAAGCAAAAACAAATTTTGTCTCAAAATAAAGTGGCAATTACCATTGCCATACCATGCCAACCGAACATTTGGCAATACCGAACTTCGGTATACCGAAAGTTTGGTATGGTAATGGTAATAGATTTTACCAAACCGAAAATTTGGTACGGTAATTGGTACGAGAATTTTGGTACGGTAACCGTACCGAACCCACCCCTACATATCATAGGTTCTCGTGCAAATTTCAATCACTTGCTTTTTCTTTTCCCATATTTTTGGCTTATTGGCTATCTCCTTTCGTTAGAGACTGTCACATTCCATTCCATTCCATTCCATTACAAAGAAGACTCAACTACCACTCCAGCTTCATTTCGCCTTTCCATTCGCTTACACCCCAAGCTAAAAGTGCGGTAAACAAAGAATCATTTGGTAAATAATTGGTTGAGTTTGTGACAGCGTCAGTTTTCTCAACAGTCGACACTAAACAAAGAACTGTAGAATTCTGTCTTCAGCATATCAAACGCCCATTAGAATTCTTTTCCCTGAGCATTAAAACCTTTCCACACTTTTACAAGAATAAGCCCAGGCATCTACAGAACAAATTTGTAATGTAAAAAACAAAATTTACCACGAGAGATGAAATCACTGTTACATAAACCCAGAAAGCACAACAGTTAAACATCCTTTCCTCAAACTGCAATCGCTGATACTATGAGTGACCATTAATTGTACATCTAGATTGCTTCGCCCAATGAGACTAATTTACCAAAACTGCATGAGTGCAAGCACACTATCTATAGGGCAAGGGCATGACTTACTCAAGTACCTAACAACATGGGAGGGCCTGGAAAACTCATTCTCTCTGGTAAACAAAGGACCTCCGATCATTTGTCAGAATGTCATGACTTCAGCTGTGATTCCATTATTAAGGTCATATGAACGCCCTCCAAATCTGGCCAAAACGCAAATTGGAACACCTTGTAATATCAAATGGCAACAAAAACATGAAATAAACGGAATAAGAATGAAACATACCATCAAGGCCTTATCAATCATCCAGGTAATAGTAGGACCCAGCAGCTTTTTGTTCCCTATCCTTAGTTGACTCCAATTTGTTGATTCTTGGGCGATAGTTAGTGGGGTCACGTCTAAATGTGATATCAAGATGCTGCATGATTTAAAAAAACAAAGAAACAAAATAAATGGAAGTTGCTTGTGCACAGCGAGGGAGAGAGAGCGAGAGCAATTCCAATGAGATTCATTGCAACATTTACCGATAAGAACAGATTCATCCCAGTCAACAATGACTGGGGACAATTTGCAGTACAATCAATTGACGGCTTCCCCTCATAGACTATAACTCTATCAGCCAAGTAGGTAGCCATAATAAAATCATGTTCAACCACGAAAGCAGTTTTCTTAGCATGAAGGATAAACCTCTTTATGACCTTAGAAGCAACAATACGCTGCTCAGAATCAAGATAAGCACTTGGTTCATCTATCAGATAAATATCTGCTGGCTGCATTGAGTAAATAGAGGCGGACATTAGAATGTACTCATCAAAACTGATCTGCATGCACTTCAACTAGTTAGAATAATGCAACTGTAAGGCAGAACCTTACCGGAATCAAACAATAAAAAAAGAACAAAAGTGAATGTAATCACTATATTTACATTGTTTACTTTACAGGCAGAGCACAGCAAGATTGCCACGAGAAACCAACTTTACATATTGGTAGATATATGAATTGTATACTGAGAACTGACACATTCTTATTCCTCAATTATTTGGATTCACACCTAGCATGTTTCCTATCTCAGAAGAAAAACTTATATCTTAAATAGTGGCTAAAGAAAAACTTATAACTCCCCAACTTCCACCCACTCAGACGCAGCCAAGTAGAAAGACTGCAACAAAGTGTTCAAATGAATTCATCCCGAGATTCAAAGTGTCCTACACAAAGTAAAAAATAAATTTACCTTCCCGAGGCATAGGCATAATGCAACCCTCTGCAACTCACCGCCAGAGAGATTCACAACTTCTTGATCCATTAATTGTTCAATTAGAAGAGGCTTCATCACATCCGACATAAATTGTGGATGAGTATATGAATCACGGATTTTTGAATGTAACAAGTGTCTGACAGTGGATTGAAACTTTGGACTGATTTTCTGAGGCTTGTAAGAAACATTGAATTCAGGTATCTCCACATCTGAATTTTCTACAATATCAGGTTTCAATAGACCCGCCTGAAAATCGGATGAATATATGTTAACTCAACATCTGAAACAGATAAGCTATAGTTAATGAAGAAAAAGAAAATGGAAAAAGAAACTAAAAATACCAGCATACGAATAAATGTAGTCTTCCCTGTTCCGTTCTCACCCAGCATCACAATAATTTGAGAATCTGTAAATTCACCCTCAACCACACGAAGCCTGAAATTTCCCTGAGTTTTACTCATTGATGGGTATCTATATCGTGCATATGTCTCAATTTCCTCAGCACTTTCCTGTGGTGTCTCAGCAACCTAATACAGGCAACAAAGTAAATCAAAAAGTACTGATAAGTCAGAAGACCAATTCATGGACAAAATTTATAATCTTGCCTTAAATGTCAGAGATTCATCTCGGAACCTAAGATTTTCTGTAGGAACAAATCCGGCCAGGAAGATGTTGATTCCTTCTCTAACTGAGAATGGAAGAGTCACAACTCCATATGCACCAGGTTTCCCATATAAACAGCAAATGAAGTCTGACAAGTAATCCAAGACACTAAGATCATGCTCCACAACAATTACATAGCTGAAAACACAAGGGAACATACCGATCAGCTAAACATGAAAGAAGACAATCAAGAAAAAGAATCCAACAAATACATGCAATGAAAATTTGAGAGTAGAGAAATATACGAAAAAAAGACCTATTAGGCCTGAGTAAAGATCGGACAACTTGGGCAGCTTTAAGCCTTTGTTTCACATCAAGATAACTTGAAGGTTCGTCAAACATATATATCTCTGCATTCTGTATGGCGACGACAGCAATGGCAAATCTTTGAAGCTCCCCACCTGATAAATCCCCTACATTACGTTCTATAACCTGGTTCAGCTCAAGGTCAGCACACAGTTCTTCCTTCATATCCCTCTCATCTTTCTGGTTGAGCACCTCCCCAACATTTCCTTGAACTGCTTTTGGAATGTGATCAACATACTGGGGCTTTATAATGGCCTGTTAATGAAAAGAAAATTATAATTATGCAATCAGCACGAAGCAAAAAATTTATTACATAAAAACAAACAAAATCGAAATGCATGCATTTTGTTTCCACAGACTGGGCCAGAAGAAAAACTAAACTTGGAATTCATCAGAATACATTGAAGACGGTAAAAAGGTATCTTGACCATCCAATTTATGACAATAAGAGCACCCACCTAGTACCAGAATCGGCATATGAAGGCTCTGCTTGGATAGCAAGCACTAGGTCCGAAAACTAACCTAACTATAAGAAAATACCTTGGAAATACACTTATAAAAGTTATGAGCATAAAAGGCACCTTCAAATTATCTTCCAGAATACGGGTAAAATAATTCTGCAGCTCAGATCCCCGGAAGTAGGTCAAGATTTCCTGCCAATCTGGAGGATTCTGAAAAGAAAAAAAAACTTCAAGATAAGTTAATCAAAGAATACAGCAAAAAGAGTTTGAATAATATTTTATACTTATCAGAGAAGGTGAATTTTGTAAGGAGTATTACCTTGAAACGGCCTAAATTTGGTTTCAACTTTCCAGCCAAAACTTTGAGGGCAGTCGACTTCCCAATGCCATTAGTTCCAACCAAACCTAGAACTTGACCTGGCCTTGGGACTGGTAACCTGAAATTTTGAATTTCTGTTAGCCACATAAGTGCTAGCATGATCAGTGATCACTTCCCAATAATGTGGTAAGGAGCTAACCTGTGTAGTTTGAAAGTGTTAGGACCATAACGATGGGTCGTATCTTTGTTTAAATCCTTCGGTAAGTTGATGATTTGAATTGCTTCAAATGGGCATTTCTGCATCATGAGATGGAACAGAGTCCAAAGAATGTCTTTAGAACCAACTAAGATAGGGAACAAAAAAAGAACAGTAACCACAATGTTTACAGACCTTAACACAGATACCGCACCCAATGCACAATTCTTCCGAGATAAAAGCAATCTTGGCTGCAGGGGTAACCTCAATACATAGTTTACCTGTAGATTGATTAGTTAGGTAAAGGCGGTGTATATTTGTAGCACTCTAGGACAACGGTATATTAATAAAATCGGGTTCAAGGCAAGAAAATCAGCTTTGTACAAAGAAGAAACCTAGCCTAATGCATTACAGGAATTCTGCCAATACTGAAATATTAAATAATTATTTGGAACCTCCACACTATATACGAGAGCTCATGCCTTTATTTTTAGTAGAATCTTTCCTTGCTTTTATATACCATGTATTTAGAGCTTAGTAAAGTTTATGGGTAAATCTACTTGCAAGAGGCAATCCATTTCCTTAATTTCCTTGTAATTATCAAATAATTGAACACAAACAATAAGTTTCATGAGAAATAACAGTTCACGTGCTACACAATCAGCTACTGAATCTAAGTAATCAAGAATTGTGCATCCCAATACCCTCACGAAACATAAAGCAAGCTCATAATTCAAGAAACAGGAAAATATTTGCACGTTTTGTGAAAACAAAAGAAACCATTATCTTGAGTGATTCGACCAATCCTGATATGCTATTTCCTTTACTAACAGAAACAATGAAAATGATAAAATTAAGAAGGGATACTATAATATACCAGTCTTGACAACAGGGCAGCTCTTCTTGCATTCCTGGCGGCACTTCTTTGGCTTGCATCTGTCGGAGCTCACGATTGCAATACGGGTCAACCGGTCTGCCATCTCCTCTCCTAATCTTATTCTATCCACAATAAATCAACAAAATCAGATTATGCCGCACACAAACACAGAGAGAGGTTAGAGACATATGGCCACCTTCTTTGTCTATATTTGGTTAAACATACTGTGCGCATGATCAAACAAAGGATTGGATTGAAATATACATCTGTAAACATTTGATGTAGGCGGAGGACTTGGTCAATTTCATTAAAAGGCTTCAAGAGAAGAGTCATTAGCTAAAACTGTATCCAAATCGCCCAACACACCAGCTAATTACTTTGTCAAATTTCAATTAGTACTAACAATCAGAGAAAAATAATATGCTTATTGATTTTCAAATAATAATCAAACAATTCTCGCTTAATCTTTGTTATCCGGCACCCAGATATACAGGAAGAAAATACACTAAATACTTACGAAGAAAACGAAGCAGATGACGGCGGTGGCGACGGAAGGCAGACTGACTGCTAAGTATAGGGAGGGTCGGGGAGGTGGTGTGGCGTGTGGCGTACCAGGGGAGGGGAGAGCTGTCTCTTTGTCCTCTCTCTGTGATAAATGTTAGGGTTTTCAAAATTTGGAAAACTAACCAAATTTTTTACCTTAAATAGAATTCTAGCTACCTTTTTAAATTTATCATAATTATAACCAAATATTAATATGAAAACACTAATACACCCTTCAAATAAAGTTTTTTCAAAAAAACCAAAAAAAAAAATGTCACCCATGGAAATCAAACAAAACAAGATTCAATTAAGATAAGAAGATTCGAAGTAGAATTGAATAAGTTCAAAGCCACCCGTAATCCTTGAAGTTCCTTAACCAACCCAAAACCCCAATTCAATCATAGAAGAAAACAAAATCCAAAGTTCAACCTTTGGAGAAAATGAGAGAAAAGGAGATAGGGACCCTTGCATTTTGGGCTTTTCACCAACGATTTGGTTCTAGAGCTGATCCTAGAAGTGGAGGTTCCAATTGAGGGGTTGAGATGTTGAGGAAGAGTAGCGGACACTGAAGTGAGCGAAGGCCTCATTGTAAGCTTGGTGGTGCAAGTGCTCGAATTCAAGGATTACATCGTCGTAGTTGAAAATCAGAAATTGGAAAGCAGAGGAGGAAGCTGACCGAGACTGAGAGTGAGAGTCATCTTCATGTGAAGGAGGTCGAAAAAATTTTAGGGGTTCGAAAATAAACGAAGGTTGTGTGTGAGAGTATAAAAGAGGAAGAGGAGGAGGAAGAGAGAGGGATCGTGCTGCACACCATGGTTGGCTGTGCTTGGGTTGAGATGTGATGAGTTGGGTTTCTGTGGTTTTGAAATATAATCTATACTATAGAAAGGACATAGATGACGGTAAAAGACAGCCAAGCCTTTTGGTTTGTAGTTTTCTTTTCTAGAAAACTTTATTTTAAAGGTGTATTAGTATTTTCCTATCAACTTTTAGTTATAATTATTATAACTTTAAAATGGTGGTTATAATTCTATTTAGGATTTGAAATTTGGTTATTTTTTCCAAATTTCTCGGGTTGTATGGGCAGAAGCTGCGCGTTACAGTAGTATTATTGCAACAATCCCTAAACCCTACGTAAAAAATCGTTGGAAGTAAAAGTAAGGCTTCTATTTTAGCCAAGTCCATGTAACTCTATTTTAATTTCATTTTGTCTCAATGTAACTCAAAAGTCATAATTTTATTCTTTGAAACTCACAATTCAACTTGTGGGTTCACAATCCAAAGTTAGGTCATCTCGAACCGAAGAGGCTATGTTTATCTCCCGTCCAAATTATAGCCATGCAAGAAATTATTTTTTTTAATGAACAGTGTTAGACCATATTTATATATCATCTCCAAGTGAATTAGGGCTATTTTTTAAACCCCTCAATAGTTTATTATTATAAGTTTGTTCTTTAATTTTATTGGTTAATTGAATTAAACTATCATATTAAAATAAGATTTTCGGACATATTTTGAGTGTCACTTGTCGCTAAATGAATAAACATTTAGATTTCTTATCATTTGGTTGAAGATGTGGCTATTTGAAAAAAAATTGAAAATTTTAAATTTAGATTATTGGAAGAGGTGAGGGAGTGGTGTTTATGAAAAGGATGTGAGCCTAGCAAAAAAAAAAATTGAAAAGATGTGAGAAATGATATAGAAATGATTTAGGTATTTATACGGACACAATTAGAAAATTTTAATTTTCTTTTTTAAATTTCGGCCTAAAAATAAAAAATCCCCTCAAACGGGCTATCTAGCTGGCTAAGAATGGCCAACCCTATGGCCAAAGGGCTGAAACTTGGTCTGGTGGGTCCCCTATTTTTTTTGGCCTAGCCCTCCATTGGAGTTGGGTTTTGGATCATTTCGGGCTAGATTTTGGTTTGAAAAGGATCCTGATCCTTATCCTGGGGTTCCTAGGGATCCCATGATCATGACTGTTCATTGTACATCGTACGGTCATAAATTATTTCAAAATTTAAAATTTAAAATTAAATATAAATAGTACCTAACCATTTTTGACCGCACGATGTATGATGAACGGTCACGATCACGGAACCCCTAAGATCCTTTTCCATTTTGACCTATAGCACTATAGCCATCTCCATTGGAGATGACCTTATAGGTTGCTTCCTCAAACATATGTGGGACCCAACATCTGATAAGATTATGTCACATATGCAATAAATTTAATTGTATATTTTCATTATGCTCAGGTGGCAAGTGAAACGAATTTTGAGGTTCAAGAAGTAAAGTGACAACTTTTGAGTTACAGAGAATAAGATGAAATTAAATCGAGTTACAAATACTTAGTAAAAAATAAACCTAAAAGCAAAAGGTTGGTGATTATTATATAGATATAGACACTTCCTATATGTTTTTTTATTAGGAAATTTATTTTTATTTTTTAAAACAAAACCCTTTTGCAAGGAAAGGATGATAAAGATGTTATTACAACAATTTACCAACTAGTACAGTGGTTTGGTATAAGTTTGAAATTCGACATATGAAAATGAAGTACATTTCAATCAAGTGCTCAACAAATTCAATCCTTTATACAAACAGATTAAATTCAATTTTGATCATCTTTGCATAATTTGGGTAACTTGGATTGCATTTAAAAAAAATCGACATGATTGAATCCAATGACTGATTTGCTTGTGACAATTCAATCTAGTTGGTTTTATCCATTTTTTCTTACAAGTTGGGGATTAATTGGGAAGTTTATGGACAGCTGACTACCATGTAAAGTAGATGGCGTTTGGATTGAGAAGGGTGAACTCGAAAAACTCTTGACTATTTTCATGGATCTGGAATTGCCGATGAGGAAATGTCTACTACATTATAGAACCAAATTAATCATTCATTTTTTAGGCTTAAAGTGAGGGCTGATTAACCAACAAGGATTTGATGATAATTTCTTCATGATTCAATATATTAGTAAAAATGCCCATGTTTTAGTAAAAATGATAATTGCATAAAGAGGAAAGAGGAAATATCTGCCCATCAGATAAGACGGAAGTCCAAAGGAATTGGATTCCCTCCCTCCCATTATCATTTCATCAAAATGATTCTTGCTCTGGTGGTGTATGTCAGTGTGTACGGAATGGAATCACACCCCAAAAGAAAAGAAAAGCAAAGCAAAGCATAGCAAAGCAAAGCAAATTTAGCTGCAATTCCCTAATAGACAGCAACATCAACCACTCTGTATCTCTATCTGTATTTAATAATAATAAAATAATAATACAACAACAGTATACCTAATGTAATATGCATACACAAAGTTGAGGATTAAGCTCTTTTTTTTTTTTTTTTTTTTGATACATGAGAATTAAGACAACCCACCTAGGATTACGAGGTGCGGCTGGCTTCCCACTCAGCCAAGTGACTCCAGTCTTGGGGTGGGCGGGGCCAAATGCAAGGGGCCTGCTCGTTTTTTCTGTGTGCGCCAGCCGCATGAGTGACGTGTACCTGACCCGAGAATTTCACTCCCACCTAGATGAACCTGTGGTATTCTGTTCAGACAAATCTCAAAGCATCCTCTAGCTCCTTCTCATCAACACAATTATATCCCATCATATAAGCTCTTGCTGCATCAAAAACGGAAAAATAAGGTCGCACATAATTAACTTACACTTCTCTAAAACCAAAACAAAAAACAAAAACAAAAAGGCAACTTAATTACCAAAGCGCCCAGATCCCATGAATGGTTCTGCCTCGTCTGTCACAGCTCCTTGCTGCTGCTCCTGAATTAAAGGAAATGACCAAGCATTAGCAACCATACAAAACAATTGAGACAAATTGTTCTCTACATGGCTAACAACTAACCAAATCAAATAAGGCGTTTGAAAAATTTACAAGAAATGAGAAAACGGAATTGAGACACTTAGTTGATGTTTGAGGGGTTAAGTAGCACATTTTCAGAATAAGGTGGCAAAGTGAGACTAAAAGTGAGTTTCAAGGGGCATATCAAATTATCAATAATTAAGCCTGACACAAATAAATTTCGACTATTTATATCAACCAGAAAATATCTCATGAGGAAGAATGAGGGGCAACTTGATGACATATTGTTGTATAATGACAACAAATTGCAAGGCAGGGGAGATGTTCACTCACAGCATCTGACTCCGTTTCTTCTGGTGATAGGAGCCTATCGAAACAGTGCCCAGATATTGTGCAGACCCAAAGCTCATTGGTCGGATCCATAACAACTTCTCTGCAATTATCATCACATACTGCAGAAGGAAACATGAAAAATAATTGGATGAGACTTAAGTCCTGCATAAGATTCACGCACTAACACACAAAGTACATGAAACTCATTGATACCTACCATGAACCTGGCCAGTGTTCTCACAGACAAATACATCTCCAATTTGGTAGTAAGTGCACTTTTCACCTGAACAAGCATGATCAGCTTCCGCCTTATCAGTTAGGCCTCTACTACTTTTCCATATAGACACTTGATCAGCTACTGTTGTGTCAAGAATTATCCCGTCATCATTCACCTTCACATTCAAATATGAAAGTTCAACCGATAAAGGTATAATTGTGTGTGTGTACATACATACTTATATACATATATATATATATATATATATATGTAAGTAGAGGAAGAGGGAGAGGGAGAGGGAGAGGGAGAGGGAGAGTCCCACATGTTACAACTAAATGTAAAGGTTAAAAGAAGGTTGAGTGTGACATATTCAGGACTAGAAAACTACTGAGAAAATAATAAGAAAGATCTTGAAGTTATCCCAAGAGAAAGCAAAACGCAGAATATTTTAAGACCCAATGTCTCATATAGTAAGTCTCCCATGAAGGATCACAAGTTAACACAAGAGAAAACAATTATGCATAAGGTTTCAAGAAGCATAGCGGTCAAGGCACCACACAGGTCAAGGCATAAGAGCAAGCTCTTCGTATAATCTCACACAAAACGACACCACACAGGTTAAGGCAAAGGTAGCATCAGTTACCTGTGAAGGAAGAGGTGCTTGGCTTCTTTTCGCAGCTTGCATTTGAATAAAATATTCCTTGAACTCAAGTGTGCAATTCCTAACAAGTTCTACCGTATCCTCCTCATCACGCTGGGAAAGAGAAAGAATTTGTTTAGGCTAATATCACTTATCTAGGTTGCTGCTGCAAAGCAGCTTCAGGTTTCATGTAAGCGCATACAATATGAAAAATTCAGTTTTTCAAGTCCAAACTACAAATTAAGTACTTTTTGTGAATGCCCATGATGACTGCAGCAGCAACTACTACAAATTAAAATCGAAAATAAAAAGCCACTATCACTGAGGTTTGGTGGTATTCCTCCAGACGTGTAAGTGGGAGGTATCATGTTCCACTCACAGGGATGGCTAGTTTGAGACCTAATTATTATGGCTGACTAAAATAATAGTAAATAAAAAGATAGATAGAAGTACCTGAATATAAAGTTTTTTCCATGGACATTCACGCAGCTTTCTACTAGGGGGCAAATGACCCCATCGCATACAGTACCTGCACATAGCCGCACAAACACATTACTCGAAAGAGGATGAAGTAAACACAGTGCATTTATCATCATTAAAGAATCAACAAATCCATACTAGGGAGGGAATTTGTTAAATAGGAGTTACATAAAGCTCTTAAAATTGCGAACAGGTGTTGCCAATAGATCAGACATTTATTGCATTCCGGTAAATTAATTGATTTGGGAAGATAACATAGGAAAATAAAAAAGCTTTGGCGTCAGAAAGACTGAAAATTGCACAACTAGTTATACAAAGACTTGTAAGAGTTACTTACAGGCGGCGCCATAAGGATTCATCGGATGCGACATGACTTAGAAATCTACAGACGAGAGAGCAAGCAAATAGATCTTCAGAAGAGAGGAACTTGAGGATGTGAGGGAAGAGTTCAGGAGGGATTTTGCTGAAAATGCCAGTTTCAATCCTCACGGGCGTGTTCCCGCTATTGCTACTGCAGCCGATGGCGCTTTTTGACTGAACAAACCCGGAAGAAGATGCGCTTTTCTGAAATTGAGGGTCTTTCTCAGCCGTATCCTCCACTAGTCGCATTTTCTTTGCTTTGGGGGCCTCTGTTACCTCATCCTCCTCCTCCTCCTCCTCCTACCATGCAATCAAACGCCCAACAACAATATCAGTCACTTATTCGTTCATGCCAGTGTACTTACTATATGATATGATTATAGAACAAACTACCCCCTTTCCCAAAAAAAAAAAAAAAAAAAACCTAATTCCGCAAAATTGAAAGTAAGCCTCATCAAGCAGAGATCAAATTTTGAAATGAGGGAAAGCTTTGTCATATTAATAAAACTGTTTAAAGACAGAAATGGATCAAACCGAATCGGAAGAAAGACAGAAATGGATCAAACCGAATCGGAAGAAAGACAGAAATGGATCAAACCGAAACGGAAGAAAGACAGAAGAATAAGACAAACCTTGTCTTCTGAAACCTCGGAGAGCACCTCCGATTCAAGGAAATGAGCCAAACTCTCGTCCTCATCCTCTGATATAGTCATGTTGCCGGCGGAAGGAGACCAGGGAAGGGGGCAATTTCAACGGACAATTTCTGGCGGAAGCAGAAAAATCGGCTTTGAGAGATTGAAAGCTTGCAGATTATCAAACGTTTTTTGGTTGCTGGTTGTGGCTGAGATAAGGTGTGCGGTTCGAGATGATCCTCGATGCTAGGCTATCGCTAATTTGCTAGTGTCCGATGGAGGAGAAGGTTAGAGGTGGGATGCGAGGGGAGAAAGAAGGAAGGGGATCACGGAGAAAAAGGGGTAAGTTTTTTAGTAAATTGCAGTAATGTTCCTCAACTTTAATTAAATTGAATTAATGATCATCAGCTAAAAATTCATTATTATTGATCATTCAACTCATTAAAATGTGTAGTTATAGATTTTCGTCAACTTCATGAGAATTTTATCAAAATAAGTTATGTTGAAATAACCATTACTACAATTGAGATCTCTCAACTCATTAAAACGTGTAGCTATGGTCATTTTCGTTAACTTTGTCAGAATTTTGTCAAAATGAGTTATGTTGGAAAGATCATTGCTACAATTGGGTTACAGTTGAGGAACCATTGCTCCAATTAGATTAGAGTTAAGGAACTATTTCTCCATTTAGATTAAAGTTGAGGGACCAATGGTAATGAATTTTTAGTTGAGAAATCATAGCTGAACGTTTTGATGAGTTGATGGACCAATAGTAATGAATTTTTAGTTGAGAAATCATTGCTCTAGTTGAATTAAAATTAAAGGTCCATTGCTACAATGTACTCTAACTTTTTTTTTCTTTCACCTTTGCCTTTTTTTTCTTCCCCTTGTTACCTCGTTGTTGCAACTCTTTCGTTAGTTGGAAACCAAATGCTTGTTAAAAAAAAAAAAAAAAAAGAACCAAATGCTAAGGCCATAACGTAATTTTCCGTAGACTCTTGTCTTAGTCGTTTTTTAATTTAAAATTAATTTTTGTGTTAGTATTATAAAATATTGTACAAAAATATAAATGGCATTGAGATTTTTCTTAAAGCAAAAATAAATTACAAAGAGAAAAGCATATTCGTTTGTGGATGTGTTTTGCTTCGATTTCGACTCCGAGAAAAAAAAACAAAAAAAGGTGGAGATAGCATTCAATCTTTAAACTTTGGTTCAATTCCAGTTTGCCACTTAGTATTAGTAATATTCATCTTCATATATAAGTGAAATATTTTAAATTTGATTTTCATTAAAGATAAATTACAAAGGCTAATCCCCTCCCTTTTAGATCATCTTCAACCAAAAAGATTAAATATAACGTCATTCAGAATTATAACCCTGTTATGTCATATTCATATGTCATGAGAGGATAAATATAACTCTTTAGTAATTTATTATTATTAAATTCATTACTAACTTAATTCACCAACTCGGTAAATTTATCAACTATTCAGCTATCATCGTCAAATGGGTTCAACGAAATCAAGTCATTCTCACAAAGCCCCATCCATAAAAATCCTAATCCTAATTAAAAATAAAAACAAGTGATTCACTTCCATAATTTACCCATGTGGCAAGTACCACACCCTCGGGGCTAACTCGAAATGTCGTCATCATGAAGTTGTGGGTCCTTCCCGATCAAATCCTCATCGGCATCATCCCCCTGCCCAGTACCCACACCATCTCCAATCTAAATGATGAGTTAGATTGTGCCATGGAGGATGGTGGTGGAGATTTGAGCTCGAACACGGTAGGAAGAGTGGATGGGCGACTATGGGTTTGTGTTTGATGTGGAAAGGAAGGAGGAGAGAGAGAGAGAGAGAGAGAGAGAGAGAGAGGATGGGCGACTATGGGTTTGTGTTTGATGTGGAAATAAGATTTGAGCTCGAACACGGTAGGAAGAGTGGATGGGCGACTATGGGTTTGTGTTTGATGTGGAAAGGAAGGAGGAGAGAGAGAGAGAGAGAGAGAGAGGATGGGCGACTATGGGTTTGTGTTTGATGTGGAAAGGAAGGAGGAGAGAGAGATATATATATATATATATATATACAGGGAGCTTAAGGGGGAGGGATCCCTATTTTTTCAAAAAAAATGGGGACACGCTCCCCACCGTTAGATTGACTTTAATGAAATTGTGTGGTTGAGATTAAAACACAGGCCATAGAATCTCAACCACATGATTTCATTTAATTCAAATCCAACGGTGGGGAGCGTGTCTCCATTTTTTTGAAAAAATGGGGATCCCTCCCCTTAAGCAATTCCTATATATATATATACACACACACACACCTGACTAGTTGTATAGAAAGATGAGACCATCTCCAACCGAACGAGAGTTATAGGCTTCTAGATACCTGACTAGTTGTATAGAAAGATGAGACAATCTCCAACCGAACGAGGGCCAGATGGCTCGTTTTAGCCATCTGGCACTCGAAGATATTAATATTTTAATGAACAGTACATTGCCATATTTGCCTCAATCTCCAACCGAGGGCCATATGGCTCGTTTTTGCCTTGCCACAAAAAATTGTCTCCAACCGAGGGTCAAACATAATTTATTATTTAGATTTAAAAACTACAACAACTTAAATTTAAAAACTACAAACTTATGTTTAAAAACTATAACTTAAATTTAAAAACTACAACAACTTAAATTTGTAGGAAAAAAATGAGAATTTTTTAACATTTTTTTACAAATTTTGGCCTAAAAAAATTCAAATTCAAATCCAACAGCTAGTTGATGTTAGCTAACCGTTGGATTTGAATTTTTTTTTGCTATAAATAGGTTGGATATTGGGCTATAATTGACACACCTTTGAATTCAATCTATTGGTGTTCTATAAGCACGGTGGAAGATCATCAAAGAACCGGCAAAAGGGTGGAGTCGAGAAAATTTGGACTCCATCATGATGTCTTACATCATATTACACAACATGATTGTAGAGGATGAGCGAGATGGGTATATTGATGGAGAGTCCGATGACTACCAAAAGGATCCAAATAGGTCAAGAAGGGCTCGTGCAAAAATATATGATGGACCTAATTTGCCTTTCAATCTAAGAACTAGTAGTATCTCTATAAATGAGTACACGAGGCACTATAGGGTGATACGTTCCAGTGCCACAAACAAGTACCTACAACATGATCTTGTTGCACATCTTTGGTCCAAAAGGAGCATGGAGTAGGCGTTTAAGTTTTATGTTGTTAAAAGTTTTTAAAAATGTTGTTAAATTTTTTTTTATGTTGTATAATTTTTATGTTGGTTAATGTTATTTAATGTTGTTTCATATTGTTTAATATTGTTTCATGTTACTTAATTTAATTTAATGTTGTATAATGACTTAGGAAGTTATAGGAAAAAAAATAAAATTTAAAAAAAAATATGAAACAAATGTTGTGAAATATAAATTATAGAAAAAAATAGAATTAAAAAAATGAAGTTATAGGAAAAAAATTTGTAAAAAAAAAAAACATAAAAAAAAAACAATAAAATAAAAAATAACGGCTAGCTAACGTCAACTAGTCGTTGCATTTGAATTTTGGCCTAGAATTCCTGTTGGATATAAATATATTCCTGTCGGTTATATCCGACAAAATTGGTGAGTTTTCTGGCACAGCCCATGGCTGGTTGGCTCATTTGGGCTAGCCTTTTGGCCCTTTGGCCATTTCAGATTCTGTGGGGTCCACGAGCCCTCTCGCCTAGTCTTTGGTTAGAGATGGTTTTTGGATGTTTTTCGGCCCTTTAGACCATTCGGTTGGAGATAGTTTGAAGGTGATGAAGTTGGAGATGGCGTAAAAGAAAGGAAAAAGCGGCGGTGAGAGGCAGAGGATTGTAGTAGAGAAGAAGACCCATTTCTTTCTCTCTCAGGCTAAAGAGCAAACGGACTCACCAAACGGGCTGGGCATCAGGCTAAGATTGGCTAGCCCGGTAGCCCTTTGGTCATATTTTGGCCGGATGGGTCCCAATAAGACCATCTCCAACCAAAGGGTTCAGATGGTCGAAAATAGACCAAAAACTGTCTTCAACCGAGGGCTCGTGGGCTCCACGAAATTTGAAAGGGTCAAATGGCCAATTGGTTGGCCCAATCCAGCCAGCCAGCCCCAGGCTGGGCTAGAAATTCTAGCATTCATGTCGGATATAACCGACATGAATATATTTGACGTTAGTTAGCCGTTATTTTTTTTTTACAGTTTTATTTATTTATTTTTTACACATTTTTTTTCAAATAACTTCTATTTTTTTCTATAACTTTCTAATAACTTATATTTTACAAAATTTATTTTCTATTTTTCTAAATTATATTTTTTTTCCTATAACTTCTATTTTACAAAATTTGTTTTTTATATTTTTTTAAATTCTATTTTTTTCCTATAACTTCTATTTTACAAAATTTGTTTTTTATATTTTTTAAATTATATTTTTTCCTATAACTTCCTAAGCCATTATACAACATTAAATTAAATTAAGTAACATGAAACAACATTAAACAATATGAAACAACATTAAATAACATTAACCAACATAAAACCTAAGCGCCTACTCCATGCTATTTTGGGGTTGAAGTAGTTGTTCATCAGGTTGGCATGCGTCATCGCTCTGTTTCGTGGTTTGTAAGAGTGACCAGCAACAGAGCCACCCTATTGAGGTTGTTCCTCAGTTAGCTGACACAACATGGCTGCTACTCTATTTTGTTTGTTGTGCCTTACTTGAACTTCTTTATCAGACTCCTCATCTTCTCGTCTCATTTGCGCCCATTTTTCTTCCAATTTGGAATTGGATGAGGACCCCCATTTGGAATCCGAAGAGGATCCAAAGTTGGAATTCATTGCAAACTTGAATTGAAAGAGATTGAATTGAAATAGATTGAATTCAAAGTTGTTTGAATTATAGCCCAATATCCACCCTATTTATAGCAAAAAAAAAAATTCAAATCCAACGGCTAGCTGACGTCACTTAGCCGTTGGATTTGAATTTAAGTTGTAGTTTTTAAATAATAAATTATGTTTGGCCCTATAACCCTTTGGCCCTTGGTTGGAGGCGATTTTTTGTGACAGGGCTAAAATGAGCCCTATGGCCCTTTGGCTCTCGGTTGGAGATGGAGGCAAATATGGCCCTGTACTGTTCATTAAAATATTAATTTCTTGGAGGGTCAAAGAGCTAAAATGAACATTCTGGCCAGCCTTTGTTTGGAGATGGCCTAATTTTTAGTCTGGACTTCGGCTGGAGATGAGTTTTGTCCAAATCAGACCATATTTTGGCCCTTTGACCCTTTAACCCTCTTCATTGAAGATGACTCATCTCCAA